AAAAAATAAAAAAAAAAACACATCATAGTAAAATTAATACCTTCTCAGCTTCGCATCGAAGCTAAAATAAAAGTGATGGGGATGGTATTAATAAAGATGAATGATAATGGCATCATCCGTAAAGACATAATAGATACAAGTACTTTGTTTCTAGTTATTACTTTATTAGTGTAGTTAGTGTATTAACACTACTCTTAGCTGATATTCACTGATGGTGATAGAATCTTGATTGTAGGCGTTTGTTTATTAAGAATGTTGTTAAGATTATATTAGGTATGTTAATGAAAGAGAATCGTATATGGTTAATAAAAGCGTATTTATTACTATGGAAAGTGTTAATTATTTTAACAAATGTATAGTTTAGATTTAGTGACAAAAGTTAAGTTTATAGACACACAGTATAAAGAATACACTTGAGTACGTATGGAATAATCTTAAAGTTTTTAACTTGATAAAAAGATTATTAAATGAGAAAAAAAGGCAAGAAAAATGAGCGAGTGACTGACTGGAAAAACAGTGTCTTCAGCCTTTAATTTAATGTAACACAAACGGCATAATCAGGGATGGGAGTCCCGATTGTGTCATGCATTTTCATAAACATATTGAGTCACCAATCCGCACTACAATCAAAGCAAGACAGTTACTTTTTATTAACATCCCTTATTTAATGCTTTTGTGGTGCCTCGAAGACGCTAAGAAAGACAATGAATCATAGCTACTTTATAGTGATCAAGGTCAGAATTATATGCGTAATCGTGTTAGCGTATTCTTTTCTGTGGTCTAAGAAATAAAAGAGGTATTGATTTTTGTAATATTCCAGAGGAGAATATTACATCATCAATCAAAATGGACGAAGTAAAATTTTAATTTGTTATATAATATTAGGTCTACTTTTAAATTTTTTAAGGTAGTTTTAAAGATAATTTTTTTAGTCATATTATAAGCAATTGCAATATAAAACAAATTATTTAATTAAATAAAATCATGAAAATTATTATTATCATTTTATTGCTTAAAAAAAATTTCCTGAGGTATTTTCTTGTTTTAAAAACTTATGATTTATGTATTTAAGACTCAAATTTGGCTATTGATCGACTTGTTCCTAAGTCTTGAATTAAAATTGCCCTCCCTAATATTTTTAATAAGCTTAATTTTAATTTCATTTAAGAATACCAAATGTCGGATCATTTTAATAATTAATCAAGTGATTAAATTACAAAATGTAATATCAATTTATTCAAACTACATGAAACATAATAATAATTAGGTTTAAATATAATCTGACATGCCTTAAAAGACATTGGAAAAGTATATACACGCCATGAAAAAAAAAAATAGATTCAAAAGTCTGACCAAAAAATTGCTATGACATAACATTATCGACAAGATAGAAGACGTTTGACTTATTACAGTACGGGGCACAGCGATGGGAAACACCATGAAGGCAGGAGGGAAATTTGCTTGATAAATATTGCCAGACCTACTCCACACTTTCAGTCCATATTTTAAAATAAAAATAACATCCGAAGTAATGGGTCAAAAGTTGTTGTCGATCAGTCATTTTCTTAATTAAATTATATTATATTTTATAAGCTAGTTAAATTTGTATATTGTCTTTTACAATAATAAAGTTAATAAAACTTTTTCTTTTTTAATATATAGTTATTTTTACAGTATTGTACTACGTAATTGCAATTTTTATAATATTTTTGTAATTTTTAAAATAGCCATTTTTATCTCTTTTCTTACAAAAATGTCTGATGGGTCAGTAACAATTTTAGGATAATTACTTATTAAAATACAAACATTTTAATACATAGAATGGATATGTAACGCTGATGTAGTATGTATTATAAATATAAACCTGTGCTACACACTCATTATATGTATTAATAAAAACAACACATGACTATTTTAAAATAAAAAAATTAATTTTTTTTATTAAGGACAAACAATAAAAAATATTAGGGTTAGATTTTTGATTAGTCAAAAACTTTTTCGGTTATTTGACAAAATTTTGACGTGTCAAATGGTCCAATTTGGTATACAAAAAATTAATATAAAATTTAGGTTAGACAAGTTGGTTATTTTTTCTAATTTGTGATGTTATGTTAGATTAAAAAAATATAAAGTTGAATTATAATTTATACGTCACTAAGTCTTAACAGTAAATTTAAGTTAAATTTCTAGTTACTTCAAATAGTAATACTAACTTTTTCACGTCAGTTAATTTAACTAATAGGATTTTTTGCTGTCTATATGAAAAGTAATTTTTTTTTATTCAAAAGATGAATATATTACAACTATTTACTATAAAAACTGTAACAAAGAAATCTATTTTTTAACATTTTGTTAAATTGTTTGCTGATAACTTAGAAATGATTTGCCAATAGAATCTTAAAAACAAATATTACTTAATGTATTACCTCATCACTTATTATATGTAAGAAACCTTAAGTATTTAACTATTTTCTGGCCAAATATTAGAAGTTTAATAATTCAATTTGCTTAAAAACTTTAAAATTCTCATTAGTACTTTCCTGCCTTATGTATGGTTATATTATAGTCTATTATATCCATTCTTAATAAGTTGTATTAACCGACTGAATAATGTTCAATTTTTTTTTACAGAAATTTATATAATAAGTTAGGATTGCATGAATCTACCAGTGGCGTAACTAAGCAAGCGCGCGCCCCCCGCAGAATTTTCGACGGCGCCCATTTACTAAATTTTACTACACTTTCAATCATGTTAATTATTATTATAAGGGTTGCAGCGCCCTCTCGTGTAACTTTCTATGAACTAATAAAGGGAATTTTCTTTGTCTGGTCATTCCGTTCGTAAAAGCGGTATTCAGCATTCGTAATTTGGCGCCCATGACCTGCTGGCGCCCCCGCATTACGGGTCTTGCGGGGCTGTTTACTGGAATCTACGAATGAGTTAGCTATAGAATCAGTATTAAATACAGATTCGTCTAAAAGGATGTATAAAAATATATTGTTTATATATAAGCTAATGGATGATAAGATAAGTTGTCTTGAAGCTATTCGAAAAATAAATTGGTTGATACCATGTTTCAATACGTTAACTACCTTTTTGAGTCATCCGCACTCAATCTTATAGTAGTAATGAACAATTAAGTCACATGCTTAGATCATGTAAAATATAAATTTTGGTTTCAATTTTGATAATGAATTTAAACTTGGTATTTTATGCCTAGGTTATTTATTTTAATAATTGTTTTTATTTTATATATTTATTCTGAAAATATTTTTTATGTATTTTAAGTTATTCAAAATTATTGTATACACTTATTTTTATACACTCTATTGCCTTATGGACATAATATTAATAATAATATAATATAATTAAACACAATTACTGAACACTAATTTAACTTCTAAAAAATAAAACCGAAGTTACTTATTAAGTTTTCTAGTGAAGTTTTTTTATAGCCTTTATTAAAATAATAATTGGCTCAACAATTATAAACAAAAAGTAAAACTCTTCGAACAACTTTTTAAAATCATCAAAGGTAAACTCATATATTTACTTAAACTTCCTTGTTTCAGTTTTATTTTGAAGTCATAATATTGTTAAACAATCAACTAAGATAAATTGATATATATGTTTCTTAATATTAATAATATGTATGTATTTATTCATATCTTATTACGTAAAGAATAGTAGTATTAATGATAAGCTATAACTGAACTTATATTTCAATCATTGCTTATTTACTTACTTCTATGATAACCTTTACAACTACGTAATATTTGATAAATGCTAATCAGGGTTACTGAGATTAATTGTATTTCGTTTAGTTAATTTCATAAATAACAATTAAGTTTGATAATTAAATATTTGATAAAAAAAAATGTTAGCATAACATAGGTTCACATAAATATTACAAAATCAATTAATTGATCAATATATTTAGGATACATAGTGTAATATTTCTATTCTCTTAATATGTAAAGAATATTGATTTTAGGTGATTCAAAAATATTTAAAAAGATAAAATATATATACTAATATTTCTGGTTAGAATAATTAAAATACATAAATAGATCAAATTCAAACATAGGAAAAATTATTTTTAAATCAATTTTTTTTTAATTGCCCTGAAAACTGAATTACATAAACTTTAGGTTTTTTAACAAAGATAATATAATATAATTAACCTAAATATAGGTATGTTGTAATCAAACAATTAAGAATATAAAATGTTCACGTCGTTTATATTTTATTATGTACTCTACACGTAATTTATTAAAAAAAGTGTATGTATATATGATACAGGACCTAAAATACATTCGTTTTAATTAAACTAATTATGTATATTATTCTTTAAAAGTATTTTAAAGTATCTCAAATTTACTGGCCTAGTCATGATTAATGACATGAGTTGGGTGGGGTTTGGTTCGAGCTACCATCCTGTTTATAGGTCTTAATCCGGCTCTGTATTAGGTGATCATTTTTTCACAAAGTTATGGTATGATGGGCAACAAAATGTAATAAACTAAAAACGGTTGATTAAAAACTTTAATTTCGTGCATAATGCATAAGGGTAATAGGTCTACACAGATCTGACAATTTGCCTTATATTATTATATAGTAGGCAACCAAACGGGTACTATCATATTGCTATTGAAAAAAACAAATTGAAATTTTGAAATTTTTTTAAGTAATACACTTAAGAATGTAACAATAGCTAAATTAAATAATTAAGTATAATATTTACAAATTAGTAATGGCTACATCTGTTATGTGCATAAAAAAAATGTGAAATATATGTATATATTATATATTTTTTTTTCAATTTATGATAGAAATATAATTTAATATAAATACACATATATAATAAAAACATAGTATAGGGGCGGACGCCCCATATCCTCCTTCTCATAGGGACTCACATGGTGGATCTTCTCCCATAATTCGACTACAGAAAAATCGATACAGCCTTAGAACTCACTCATAACTAGAAGTAACTGCCGTTTAAGGATGACGTAAAAAGTTCAAATACGGTCTAATCAATAATATTACTATGTCTAATAGAATCAAGATTTATAGATTTTAATCTAAAATCCTTGATATAAAATGGGCCACGATTATAGATAAGACTTATCTATAATCGTAAAATAGGTAATGAGTTTAGAGTTATTACGTGGGTAATACGATAACTTGATAGTAACCATAGTTTGTAATTGATAAGAAATTGCAAACTTCCCGCACGTTTCTGAAGTTTAAAAATTACCGAAATATGAGTCAACTAGCAAGCATTTGTAAATTGTAAGTATTTCTAGTTATATTGGTGTTATTTTATGTGTTAATTTATATAAAATAACTATTTTTAGCTGTTCAGTAAACGTAAGTAAATATGTATGCCCTAAATGCGGAGCACCCTACTGTTCTTTAAATTGTTATAAAACTACCAATCATTTAGAATGTACTGAACAATTCTATAAAGATTGTATTGGTAATGAATTAAATATTCATGGCTCTAATCAAATGGGTCAGAAAGACATGATTGATATTCTTAAAAGAGTTTATGGTCAAGATGAAGATTCAGGTAAATATAAGTAGGTTTGTACAATTAAAATTATTGTGTATACAACGACAGTAAAGGCTACTTTTTCTGTCCTTGAATCATCTAGTTTTATTTAAGTGGACAGTTAACAATTATATTTAATAGACAGAATACTAATTTAATTAGATTTTAAAGAAGAATATCATATTTATTGTAAAAAAAAATGTAATCTAAGTTTAAAAAATGTGTTTTTAAGGGTAAATACTTTACATATTCCTTATACATTCTATAAGGTATATGCTGTTTAGGAAAACTTAAATCTCTATAACTTAAAATTTATACTGAAATGTTCAATTACATTAAATCAACATTGATAAGTTACAAAACTATAAAATTGAATTAATTTAGTATATATTTGTAATGTAGTATTTACATATTTTATGAATCTTTTTTTTTTAAAGGGGCTTAGTTGCATTAGACCCCTAATTATACCGATAATTATACAGAGTAGAACAGATTATTATTAAATGAAATAGTAAAAAAGATAGTGGATGATATATAGATCTAACCGACACTCCTAATATTAGATACAATTAACATTTTGTTGTAATTTTTTTTTTTAATAATTTATGCTTGGACTGAGTTAAAATTATATTTTTTATTCTTTGTTTTTAATAATAATAAAATATATATATAATTTTATTTATTAAATTTTAAAATAGGCAATTTTAAGCTGTTTTCATACAAAAAATTTAATGAGTTAATAACAACTTTAGAATAAGTATTTATTAAGTTACAAGAATTTTATATACATATAACAATTATACACCTCAGTATTTTAAATCATAGAGTGGGTATGTAACATGAGTGTAGTATGCATTATAAATATACACCTGTGCACTCATTATATGTATTAAAATTCTTGTAATTCAATAAGTACCAAGTATCAAACCATTAAAAATGTTTGTAAGAAAAGTGCTAAAAACTAGCTATTAAGAAAAAAATTTTTATTATTAAAATCAAATAATAAAATTTATGATTTAAGGTAGTAAAATAACACAGAAATTATTTTTAAAAAATTACAGCTAAATGTAAATTATATCAAAAGTTATAAGAGCAATTAATTAGTCTAGTTCCACTCTATATGTCATCCACTATTTTATTTAATATGAAATGAATTAAAAACAGATTTCTTCAATTCCGTAGGTTTTGTTAAACAATTTAAAAGTAGTAATTAAGTGACTTAGACTTCAGATTTAGTTCAGTAAATGGGTATGATGAAATTTTTAATTTAAATAGATTAAAAATAATTATACTTCGAAATAATTATTCATAATGGTTGTAATTTATTTATTAAATATTTAATATAGTAGTGTATGAATAATGAATAAATTTATATGCTTAATTTTTTGTAATAAAGAAACTGATTCTGATGATGAAGATTATACAGATTTGAGCGAACGTTTAAAAGGAATTGATTTAGATGATCCTGAACAAGTTTGGTATCAGCTTACAGATACAGAAAAAGCAGAATTTGAGCATCTTGTTAAGTCTGGTGATATCACTAAAATATTACCACAATATACACCATGGTGGTGTTTGCCGTAAGTAAAATTTGTAACGACTTTGATTGTGTAAGTTACTATTTTAAGGATAAATTATTATTAAATTGAATTTTCATAAATATGATATTTAATATACATTGTTAAAGCACATTTTTAACAATTTTGGTTTAGAATTGAAAAAAAAATTGTGTCTGAATTTTGTGATGACGTTGAAAATTCAAAGATTCCTTTGTTAATTAATAATATTATAAGTTTTTCTTCTATTTCAGTAAGTATTTTATGTTTTTAATTTTATGTCTTAAGATTATTTTTACATTCTGTATTAAATTACACATAAATAATTTCAATTTTAGTAATTCTTATTTATTTCTTATTCCTATTTATTTATTTTTATGTCTAAATTGTCACCTATAAATTGTTATTTATAAAAAAAGTTACATAATTAAATAATTAAAGTGATCAATGATTTATAACAGCGTTTCTCAAACTGTGGGTCGTGAGTCAATTTTTGGGGGGGTCACGAGAAGTAAAATAGCTACATTTGACGTCGATGTTGGTGCTGCTATCACCAATAGCAGAAAACAAGCACATTCATCACATATGCCTAATTATTAATTAAGTATTATATTATTATATAAGTATATTATTATAAAGTAATAAAATAGAAAAATTTTTTTTTTGAATTTACTTTTTTGATTCTCTAAATGTAAAACTAAGGAGGTCACGATAGATTTTTGGAAGAAAATTTGGGTCACGGTCCTAAAAAGATTAAGAAACACTAATCTATAAGATCCCATTGACAATTATGTTCATTTTAACTTTTCATTACAGTATTTTCTATAACTATGAAAACATCATATTTCTATTAAGGAAGAATTATTTTCTTGATTCAACATTGTAGAAAATACTATTGGGTAACATTAAAAATATAATAAACAAGCTTAATTTAGTCATTCCATAGTAAACAAAAATATCAATTTGTAGGTGACAAAAAATTGTCATTTAGTAGTTGTATGTTGTTATAATATACTTTTTTTTTTAGAATAAATCTCCATCTGAATTTGTTCAATGGAATTTAGTTAATATATTAACATCTTATGTATTTTTAATACGCTATTATAATGGGAAGCATAAATCGTATTTATCTGAGTTCGTAAATGGCATGTACAATTTATCACAAAATCTACTTTCTAATCAAAATTTCGAGTCTTTCAGCACTGCTGTGAAATCTGTTGAATTGTGTATTCTTGAAGTAATTATTTGAATAATTAATTTGTCACCCACGAGTTTAATATTAAGTTGAATTTTTAATTTTATTAATTTTTTTTATAGATTGATATGTTTAAAGATTCCACAGGCAGTTTTAATCTTATAAAAGATGACTTGATTGTTATTTTTTATAATAACTTACAAGCAAACTGCAATTATAATGTTAAACTGGCTCTGTGTGATATCTATAGCTTGTTAAAAGATTATAAAAATAAAAGCAAATTAAAATCTAATGGTAAGTTTATGATCAGTTTTTTTATTAAAAAAACATTTTAATTGGGACCTCAGTGAATATTTTATATCCATTAGAAATTAATTAATTTTAATTAAAAAAAAAACTTAAATAAATTCTATTTCAGATAAAATAAAACATGGAGAATTTCAAAAAAAATTTCCCGATTCAAAAGCTAATTTCTCAAATTTTATAGATTCAAAAAAAGTCCGCTTGTTGATTAAAAAAATTGAATATTATTTATCTTGGGCAAATGAATTTCAGATGCAAGAAGTTGAAAGCTAATTTTATAAATAAGATAATTTTATGATTTGTATAATATTTAATCAAATATAGTATGTTATAAAGTTCTAAAATTAAAAAATATCTTTTATCTTTTTGAATAATTAAAATCAAATTCCACTTAGTATTATTGTTCATTTTAAAAAACTCAGCACAGTGGAGTCACAGCATTGTTAAACTGTATCCAAGGCTATTAAATAAGTGAAGTTGCCTAAAAATAATGCAAACAAATCCAAACCCACCACTGTTTCTTATTTAGAGAATTTCCATGAAAAGAAATATAGAAAAACATATCACCTAACGGCAAAACCTAATAACTTAAGCTTCGTATCAAAACTAAAATTAATACTTTAATCTACTATTTATATGCAGTGTTCCATCAGGTTTTAATATCTTAAATAACTTTAGATTAGTGGTTCTCAACGGGGACGATATCGCCCCCTAGTGGGCGGTGAAGTGTCACTGGGGGACATTAAACTAGTTTTGGGCGGTAGGGGCGCAGTGAACTAGTTTAGGGGTGGTAGAGGAATTGACTCGATATCGTGACAAGAGTACACTTATCAATCATGTTAACGAGTATCGAACTTAATGTCGAAAAACTGACTAAAAACCACCAAGTTCAATCATCTCACTGAAATTATGTCTACAAAAACAATAAAAGCAATGTTTTTTATTTGATTTTAAAATCTTTTTTAAAAGTAATATTTTTTCTAAATAAACTAAAAATTGTATTTATTATTATAAAATAAAATTGATAAATTATTAATTCTTTTTCAAATGTTCAATTTAATTACTTTACTAATACTATAATTAAAAAAATATGAAAAATAAAACATAAATGAAAACATTAGTTATGGGATAATTATTCAAATTTTTTTTCAAATTTTCCAAATCATTAACTTCCTTCCTATCACTCAGCCCATATCATTAATTATAAAATTTTCACATAGGGGGGCGTTAAAGAATTAATTCCTACTCAAGGGGGCGGTAACATAAAAACGGTTGAGAAACATTGCTTTAGACCATGGAATATTTTGGGTTACCTAATTTTTAGAACGCTGGCGAAGTGCACATGCACTATCACGAGCTGCTATCATCTACGCTACATACCCACTCTATGTATTAAAAAAATACTTGTAACTTGATAAATACTTGTCCTGAAATTATCACCGACTAATCAAATTTTTTTATAAGAAAAGTAATATATACAGCTATTTGAAACTTTGAAAAAATAATTTATTTTTCTTATAACTGATAAATTATAAAAGATATAATTTGTACGTAGTCTAAGAAGATAATGATTATTTAAAAAAATATGAAACGCAAAATATTTGTTGGATCAAAAGTATTAAAGAAATAAGAACCTGGCGGTACACTATTGCATTTAATTATAGTCATCTATATATGTCTTTACGTTTAATATATACTATACATAATTATAGTTATATTCATGCAGTATTTATAAATTAAATTAAAAAACTGGTAAAATGATGGTCAAGTTCCTATTTTGGGGGTCATAATCTGAATTCATCATTGAGTATTAAGTATATCCAAACATATTAGAAAACTGTATATGTTGTTATATAAAAATATGTTTTCAGCCGAGGCAAAAAAATCAATTCTGCTCTTTCATATTTATTCTTAATTTTGCATCTATGACGTTAAATCGGCTTAGAGATCAGAATATAAGTAAACTATAATTAATTTTATCCGTGGCCTTTGAAATTTTTCATTTGATTTCATAGCCCGAGCTTGTCATCTTGGATCAAATAATCCTTTATAACTAGATCTAGTTATACAGTATAAACGTATCTGAAAAAATTCAACTTATAAATTTAACTGCAAAATTATCTATAGAATTTTATGACAGTTTTGTTAAATTACAGATAGTAGAAAACTTCATATAATCTGTGGTTAAAGTAAACTTATTTCAAAAACCTTAAAATCGTTTAAGTTGTCTACACTGCCACTAGTAAGCGTCATACACGAACGTATACAGCTGTAGCATCATATTAGTAAAGGAAGGCTGTCCACCATTTTGTGCACTCGTACATCGTTACCAATTGTAGGTCTGCCACCGACGCGTATTTTATCCTCATCTGTAAAATATTTTAATTATTACTGAATTTTTTGATACTCGAAAGTCTCTTTCCGGTTATTGTAACTGAACATTTTAAATAAATTCTTCTTTTAAGAACTTATAAGTTTAACGTGTTAAAGCTTTTGTATTTTGTTTTTCGTGTTATTTAAACGAAATTTTTAAACATGGGATCTGATGTGAGTGTTTTTTATTGTTTGTTTACTAATTATGAATAAAATATATAATTTAATTATTTACTAACTAATTTAACAGGAACCTGAACAGTATAGAAAACTCTTTATTGGTGGACTCAATTACACCACTACAAATGATTCCCTTAAAGAATTTTTTGAACAATGGGGAGAAATTGTTGATGTTGTAGTCATGAAAGATCCTCAGACTAAAAGGTATTAAAAGTAATTTTTAATTACATATTTATATCAGCTTTTGATGTTAAAACATTCATCCATTTTTTTAGGTCTCGAGGATTTGGTTTTATTACATATTCTCAATCATCCATGGTTGATCAAGCCATGTCAAATAGGCCTCATAAAATTGATGGGCGTGAAGTTGAAACTAAGCGTGCTGTGCCTCGTGATGTAAGACTACTTAATTTTATAATTCAAAATTGATATTAACTTATAGTATTTAAATGAATTATTTTATAATCCCAGTATTATTTTGTTAAATATTTTTGATTACTTAAGATTATATTATAGATTTTTTCCGTTCAATTAAGATTTTCATTGTGGAACCAAATATTAATGAAATTTATTTGTAGGATATTGATAAACCTGATATTGCTGCTACTGTTAAAAAAATGTTTGTGTCTGGAATTAAAGAACAGTCAGAAAATGAATTGCATGAATATTTTGGAAAATTTGGAAATATAACAAATGTTACTATTGTTACTGATAAAGATTCTGGCCAGAGAAAAGGATTTGGATTTATTGAATATGATGACACAGATTCCGTTGATAAAGCTGTGTGTATGTATTCACATTATGATTTCAATAACTAATTTATTAAATAAATGGTCATTTAATAAATAAATATTATGTTAGTAATCAAAACCCATCAAGTTGCTGGAGGCAAATTAGATGTTAAAAAGGCTATTAGTCGCAGTGAGAATGCTGGAGGTGGTCGAGGTAATCGTGGTGGACGTGGAGGTGGTGGAGGAAATAGAAGTTGGGGTGGAAATCCAAGAAATGATCAATGGGGTGGCCATCATAATAGTAAGTTAATAAACATTTCAACATTATGATAAAATTTTATGTAATAATATATTAGTTAATGAGTAAGATGTTTAACTATTCATTTTACTATTGATGTTATTTTACATTTTCTTTAATATTATGTTTAAAGATTTATTGTTTTTAAAATATATTTAATTTAATTCGAAAGTATGCTATTTTAATGTATAAAATGTAAAAAAAAAAAAAGTTATATTTGGTGGTATTATAATTATTAGAGTAAAAGCATCAAGTAATAAGATACTTTGGACAAAATATAATTCCATATTTTGTACAAAGTAATCTAAGTATACATGTTAAATTACATGAAAAGTGTCAAAATAATATTTTTCTATTTTGTGAATAGGTCAAGGTCCAGCCATGGGTAGAATGAGGCAGTTCAATTCTGTTAAGCCAAATGGCCCATCATTTAATAATCCACGTAATTTATTTACAAAATATTATAATTTAATAAATTAATTTTATCATTACATTTTGTTATTTAATTTAGGTTCAAATGGCGGTGGATATGGAAATTCTGGAATGGGAGGTGGATATAACTCTGGTGGAGGATATGGTGGAAATGCAGGATACAACTCAAATTCAGGTGGTGCTTGGCAAGGAGGTGGCGGAGGAGGTGGTCCTCAAGGCTGGGGTAACAACCCAGCTTGGGGAAACCAAGGTGGAGGAGACAATTGGGGAAATTCTCAAACAAGTAATATAAAACTTTTCAAGAACAATTGCTTTATTTATAATCAGCTTTTTGGTTTTAACCAAAGAGATAGTTATTTCTTAAAGATAATTTATTATCTTATTTAATATTGTATTCATGGTAAATAATTTACTTCTTTAAGCTTGATTTCAAATTACTATGTGTAATATTAATAAATATTTTGTACAAGTTAATTAAGTTTTTCAAACAATAGCTAAAAAATAAAATTAATTAAAGTGAGATCATATTTATTTTTAGGCAATAATTGGGGTCCCAGCCAAAGTTATGGCGGTGGCGGTGGCCCAATGAGATCCAATTATTCTTCTAATAGCCGTTCTGCACCTTATGGAAACCCAGGTAGTTGTAGTAATTTATTGTCTTCAAACTCTAATAAAACATTTGAAATTTTGTAGTGGTTATAAACTTTTTCTAATTATTTTTTAAATATAAAAACAAATTTTGTTTTGATTTATGTACATTTTCCATAATAAGTTATTATTTTTCAGGAGTGGGTAATGGAAATGTTGGTAATCCTGGTGGATATGGTCAAAATGCTGGAAGAAGATATTAAAATGGATCTTAAATATCAAGGTATTATTAAAATTCCAAATTGATCAAAATGAACTTATTTAGTTTCTTCATCCTATGATAATAACTCATATATTTTAAATCTTTTTTGTATTGGGATAATTATTAAAAATAGTTTTTTATTTTGAAAATTGTTAGGTAGGATCCATGGAGCCAGTTTGTTAGGAAGTTAAACAAAAATAGGATACCAGTTATTTCTATGTATAATAATTTAAAATATAATATTTGTATATATATCTCTATATACTAATATTCCATTATTGGTACATATGACACAAGAATCAGTCATTTGAATACCTTTTCATCCTCGCCTACTGCAAATTAAGTTTAATCATTTATCTATTAAGTACAATGACGTGTTTTGTATTGGTAATATAATTTTTATATTTCTCAACTAAATTTTTTCTTTTGTATTTTTTATTTGAAGTTTTACCTAAGTATTGATGAATTTTCAACAATTTTGTATTTGAGGAAGTTGTATTCTATGAAATTTTTTTTTTTACTATTATAATTATTATTACTAGTAATTTGTGACTATATTAGGATGTAGGTAATAAAAAAAGATAATGTAAAATATATCTAAATGGTTGGCAGTTTACTGAAAACTATTTACTCAATGTATGTAGTCTATGGTGTTTTAATAACTATTAAATTACTAATTATAAGTTTTTTTTTCTAATTAGGTAATATTTTGTATTAAAATAATAATTAAATGTTTCATTTATATATATATATATATATATATATATTTATAAATATCTATAAATATCTTGGTCATTTTAATAAAGCTATAGTTGAGGAATACTGTAGGAAGATTTAATTTTTATTCAACAGACAAGAAAATGTACCTTTTAAAATTTCAAATTATAAATACTTTTTAAAAATGTAGTAATTTTTTTAAACTGACTATAATTATATAATATATGCTTAGGACCATATTATATTTTTAATATTTACTTCTCAAATAAAATAACTATAGTGGTAAACAGTACCTAATACAAATTGGATGATATAAGTATTTTAGTACTTATTTTTGGATCTATGAGGAATAAACTAATAATTTTAAATTAATCTAATTTTTAGTATTAGTAAGTCCTTACTAAGAATATAAAAGTCTTTGTTAAAGTTTTAATTTTTTTTTTCTTTAGGGATAATTTGATAATAAGGTTTTAAAAAAAGTCAATATTAATTTGGTTATTTTCTCAGTTAAGTGTGCTATTTAACTTGTTTTTTCTTTTAATTTATTGATACTAATGTTAAATCTCATTTCTATTGTGTTGATGATTAAAAATACATATATTTATTAACTATTTTATTATTGTGCAATTATATTTGTCATTAGGTATACTTCTAAATAAAAAATTCTTATTTTAAGAGCTAACTAGATGTGTAAAGTTACTGAAATTGTGAAGTATGTTTTTCAAGAAATTAAATATTGCATCAATACTTTTATACTAACTGAAAATTTTTGTTGAATATTAGGCAATCAAATTATAACTTTTAGCTCTAGTTAAATGGTAAAACATTTGTGGTACATCCAAACAAAAACTGAAATACTAAAGTACTGTAATATATTTTTTTAAATGTTCATTTTTATAATTTGATATAAGTTTATTACAAAATGTTAGTTTTTCTTCAACAATCTTTGGCTTTTTATTTTAGGTAAGCTGTAAGCAGTTATCAAATATTTACTAAATTGCTTTTATATCAATTTTTCTTAACTATGTCACCACATAAATGATAGAAAAGATAAATAATTCATATGTTAGTGTAGGTTTATTAGATATCATAGAAAAATTAGCCATTTAGGTCTTATGCTGACATCAAGTGGGTTTAAGACTCATCAGACCACATAGGTGAATCAATTTAGGGCAGAAAACCTCGATAATGAATCGTAGGTAGGTCAATCAAATGCTGAAGGTAAATCTTAGCTTCATTGTAGGGGTTGTAAGTAATTAATTTTGTTTCACTTTCATAGTGTTTCTTTAATAAACAACAAATTTTGAAAAAGATTCTAGTGTACTATTTTTCTATAAAATTTTGAAATAGTGATAAAATTTAAACTAATAAAAATTATTATGCTATCAACTGATTGCTGTATTTAATTACTTTTTGTATATTATCTTATTAAATATTAAAATTTAATAGTGCCAATCATTTTTTATAGTTAAAAAAGTCATAAAGAGGACTATTGTTTATACTCAAAATTTGTTGTTAGTTTCCTGGTAATTAAGAGTTATATTATTACATTTAAATGTTGTAATTGTTATTTATTTATTTTACCAGAAATTTATTGGAAGGAGCTATCCAACTTAACAAATTATGGCATTTCATGAAATATATAGCAAAATAGAAATTTTACTGTGGTCCAACTTATGAAGTATGGAGCTTGTTGAATTTTGTGAGTAAAAATTTTATTATATAAGCAAATACAAAAAATTATATCCATTTTTAAGTTTTATTAAATTATTTAAAGGGTGGGTGTATAACTTGGGGAGCAAGGAAATCTCTTTGTTCTAAAACAAAAATATTTTTATTGCTTAAGTGTATATCTGTACAAACTAGCATCTTCCTGATGTACCTAAAGTAATTAAAATTATAAATGCATATAATTTTGTGTTCTAATTATAAGATGTTATGAAAAAATATTGAATTATTTATAGGCTGTATTGTAGTTATGGTTTTGATAATGATGGTACATGATAACTTCAAAGAAGAGAAGTATCTTTTAAAACATTAAGAGTTATTCATAAAGTAAGTAAATATTTAAAAAAAAATACTATACAAAGTTAATTTTATAATTCAACTTTTTTACACATTTTTTTAAATGATTTTTCTTTTTACATTTTTTAAAAACTGAAAATTATGTTTCCTATTTCAGAATTGATGATCACTACTGTACTTCATGCATTCAAGTGTAAACATTGTTCATTTTAGACTATCGAATACACCTGTACTTGTATTTTAATAAATGCAGTTCTAATTTATTAAATGAGCAGTTATTATAAATATTTAAAAAATTATTCAAAATAACTTGTATTTATATATTTTTGTATTATTAATTTTTTCAAGTAAAATACATGACAAAATAGGTTTTTTTATTGTATTTTAAAATTAAATTTTTTTTCATCAAAAATCCATTTATATGTAATGTCTACTGCTAAAAAAATTACTTAAGTGTTAAAAAGTTTTTAAATAGTTTAAAAATAAATATTTTTGTTTTTGCACTCTACTCTTATATGAATGTTGAACAAAAGATTTTATTACACTATCTTTTAAAAAAGTTTTTTAGTTGAGCTTTGTGTTGCTCAATTTTAGTAAATTTTATTATCCAAATGAAACCGCTGTTTCAAAACAAAAAATTTATTTTTTATTTATCTAAACCAGGACTTGAGCTCATCTATATAACAAAATATGAAAAGAAGTAAATTTATTGATATTGGGGGTAAATCTATATTAAGGCCATTTTGTTTCAAAGTAATTACATCAATTACAATTTTATATTTTACCCTGAATGATAAAGCTTAAAAACTATGTCTTAACAAATGCTTTATTGGCTATTTTTTATAGTTTGAGCACTAAGTCATATTAATTTGATAAATTTTTTGATTTTGAATTATATTTTATTTGTATTATACAAAGTGTCTATAATCTCAATATTATTAAAGAAAAGACTGGTGTTGAATACTTTCTACTTTTTTAATTATTTAATTGTACTTCTACTTGCCTAATTTTAAAATTATAGCATCTACAGTTGTTATGTGTTTTTGACAATCAATTACAGATTTAAAGAGGTGCTTGGAAGCTAATTTGTTTTTGATTTCCTGCAAAATTGCTAATAGTGACATACCAGCTTTTGAGAATAGTCATAGACTTAGGTGTAAAATAGAGGGGGTTAGGAGCTTAATTCCCTTTCAAAATTAAAAAAAAAAAATGATATATTTTTATACAAAAAAAAGTAGTGTTTGAAAAATCAATGAAGTTTCAAATTTTATCATAAATTTATTACCTTGGCGACAAGTATGTTTGGAACAAAATATATTAATATAAATAAAGTAAGAATGGATCTGATAATGAACTTTTCTCAAATAATACAATTATTTTAAAAAATTAATCAATATAAATTGTTTTTTTAATAATTCATAGCACTTAATGAGTCAATATTTTATTACGGGAAAAATTCTAAGAATTACATAAATAAAAAATGTAAATTTTATAAGAAAGACTGCAGTCGAGATCATTATTTAATCTGGCTCTGAGTATTTAATAATCTTAATTCCAAACAAATAAGATTTATTGATATATTCAAATAATTATCAATTAGATATATGCTTTAATCTTAAATTTTTATTCAATGAAAATTGCATTCATTAAAAATTATTTTCAAACAATACTATAATTATAATTAACATCACTAAAAATAAAATTATTATTTTTTAAAAAAATTATTTAACTTGTCCATGAAAAATAATTGCAGCACGTTGACAATTTATATTTTACCGGCCATTATGTAGATAATTATTGTGCTATCAATGATATGCGCCTGTGCTATTAACCAAATTCAATTCGTGTCGCGTTTTGTTTGGGTGTTGTTGTTACTAAACCCAACAGTATTTTCTTACAAAATTTAAGTAATTTTTCTAACGGTAGCGGACTTATCTAAATTTTGTAAATGAAGTTACATCTCCCATAAACGTGTTTATTTTATACTATAATATTTTTAATAATGAGTATGACGGTAAATTGTTTTCGTTTATTTGACAGTAAATATTTCTTTAAAAAATATTTATTTCAAATGTTTTTTTTTTGTAGAATGAAAATATAGATGAACCTGAGCAATTTAGAAAATTATTTATTGGTGGTTTGAATTATACAACTACAAATGATTCATTGAAAGAATTTTTTGAAAAATGGGGTGAAATTGTTGATGTGGTTGTTATGAAAGATCCTGTTACTAAAAGGTTAGTTTCCAGTATCAAAAACATAGTTGTATAAATAATGCGGAGATAACGATACTTCTTTTATATTTATTAAACTAGTCAGTATACAACTTTAACAGTTGTGTCATTTGATAATTATAATTAAATTAAATCAAATATAAATTTTCCTTAAAAATTCCTAAAAATATAAAATTTTCTCTCATTTTTTTCGCTGATTCATAGTACAATTCACCAAAGTACATTCATTATTAAGTAATGTCATCAATATAAATACAAAATTAAGGGAATCATTGTTGATTAGTTTAGAATAATATGTTGAATTCAAGTCCTTAAGCATTTATAGAGGTCTATGTTTCAAATAGTTTTAAGATTACTAAAGTTTTTTAATAAGTATAAGTTATATATACCTTTGTTGTTCATGATATTATTAATTTATAATTATTGTTAAAAATCTTAGGAAATACAAATTGAAAAAATTAAAATATAATTAGTAAATAAATGAATTATAATATCCCTAGTTTATTTTTATTCCTTATTTAAGATAAATAAGGAAAAATTTAATTAAGATAATTGAATTGCCTTAAATTTTGCTCATTAAAAGTAATTATCTAATAATAAAATAAGTTATGTCCTATTTATTTTATATAAACATTTCAATAGTTGGTTTTGTTTCACAAACTTTAAATAATAGTTGATTTGATTTATATAAGAGAAAGTTTAATTTAATAATTCCCATTGTTTTTAAATTTGGACAAGTTTTTCATTGCTATAAGAATGTCTAAATATTCACCCATTTAGAAGCATACAACGGTAAATGTGGTTTATTGTTGAAGGTTAAATATTAATATTTATATATTTTAATTAATTATACTTATCTAGATCAAGAGGATTTGGTTTTATAACTTATTCAAAAGCGACCATGGTAGATGACGCAATGGCTAATAGACCTCATAAAATTGATGGAAGGGAAGTAGAAACAAAGCGTGCCGTTCCACGAGATGTAATATTAATTTAGATTAATTTTCACTTAATATTAAATCTAAATCTCTTTTCATAACTATAGGATATTGATAAACCTGATATAGCATGGACAGTAAAAAAAATGTTTATGTCTGGTATTAAAGAACAAACTGAAGAAGAGCTTCGAGAATATTTTGGCCAATATGGTAATATATTAAATGTTCAAATTGTGACTGATAAAGAAACAGGACAGCGTAAAGGTTTTGGTTTTATTGAATTTGATGACTCTGATTCTGTTGACAAAGTAGTTTGTATGTTACTTATTGTCTTTTTGATAACTTAAAAATATATTTCAATTTTATATTACACAATAGTGATTAAAAGTCATCAAGTTGCTAATAATAAATTAGAGGTGAAGAAAGCTGTTAGTAAAGATGTAGCATCAGCTTCTAGAGGAAGAAGAGGTGCAAGAGGTGCTAGTAGAGGTCAGAATTGGGGAGGACCTAACAATTGGGGTAAGTAGTAAAATTTTAAATCAGAATGCATGTTATTTATTAATTGAAATATGCAATAAATTTAATCTTGTAAAATACAATGTACTATGGATTTTTATAAATTCATTTCTTTTTATAAATTGTTATATTATTAATCAGAATAATTCTTAAATTATTTTTTCTAGGTGGTAGTTTTGGAGGAGGTAATGGAAATGGCTATGGTGGTGGATGGGCTCAAGGTGGTCCTCAAGGTTGGAATAATTCTTGGGGTGGCCAAGGTAGTCATGGCGGTTGGGGAAATGGAGGTAAGTGTTAAAAATTATTGGTTATTTATTGTTAACTTTAATAAGGGGAAATTATTTTATTAAACAATTGTATCACTCCTGTTTTCTTGATAATCATTAATTTATTCATATATTTTTACTTTTTTTATATTATTGATTATTTTTACATATAATTATTGTTATTATTTTATCTTACTTTAATTATAATAAAAATTTTAATTAGAGCATGGTAAATTTGTTGTTTTATAACTGTCAAAGTACAAAGTTATTGTTTATTGTACTTGTTATTGATCACTCTGTTATGAGAATAACTAGTATGATGTACATTGATTTTCAAAGAAATAGAAAAGTACTAAATAAAGTGATATTTTGTAATTTATAGAATTTTATTTAAATAATAGGTGGTAATTGGGGTGGTAATCATAGTGGTTATGGTGGTGGTCCAATGCGAGGAAACTTTGGAAATAATAGAGCAACGCCATACCACACAGGTCGTAGTATATTATCTTATTCTCACATTATTTAAGCATTGTTGTATTATTCAAAATATAATATTATATGTTATATTTATATGTAGGAGGTGGTGGTGGTAATTTTCATCAAAATTCAAGAGGAAGATATTAAATGTTAGTATCATGCTAATATATTTTAAGCTACACTATATTACTAAGATAAATAAATGATGACTTTTGGTATATATTAAATATTTTGAAAGATTACTATTATATTAATGGATAATGATTGTGTTTTTCTATCTTGTTAGGCAGATTGCTGAAGCCAGACTAGGAATCAATAACTATCAAAATTTTTCTTCATCAACTTTTGGGTATTTCAAATGAAATTTTGTCAAAATTATTATTAATCTGATCTACATATTATGTTGAATTTAAATACCTTTTCAAGTTACTAAAAAATGATAATGCTAGTTGTTTTAAGTGTTATGGTTTAAAATTTAGGATAAATAAGTTTTAAAAAAAATTTTATTTTATTTTTTATTTTTGACTAATCATTATAGTTTTTTTTCCAATGCATTTTTTTTTAACAATTCATTGATGGAAATTTGTTATATTTCGTTATAGGTGTATATTTCTATGTAATAATATACTTCAATGTTTATTATTATTTTAATAAATTAAACTATTTTCCTGACAACAGGAATTTATTAAAAATGTGAAATAGATTTTTTTAAAGTTTTATGACTAAATTTACAAGAAAAATTTTAAATAGTGATTTCAAGTAGTATTTGATTATTTTGAATATTAAATTGTAATTAGGTATAGTTTCATATTTCAAAGGAATAACATTGTAAGTAGTGTACACTATTGTTTTGTCTAAAATTCTACCTTAATTTCATTTTCATAGACCTATCTGATTTTAAATATAATTTTGATATCTATAGATTAAAAATTATTCTTATAGCTTATAAGCTATTGAGTTGTTAGGTTTTTAATGCAGAATCACAATTTTGAGGCTTCTATCAACAGCGTAGGACGTAGGCTACCAGTTCAATGATAGTAAGTGATTTAGGTAGGTCTGCCTTTTAACACAATAATTACTAATCTTTTATAATTAATTATTCATTTTCAGAAAAATAACATAGTTAATGAATCTAGAGTTGAAAAATATTTATTATACATTTGGTATATAAAATTATTATGTAATTACTTTATTATTAGTGATTTATTTTTAATTAACAAACGATTACAACCATACAAAAATTTAATAATTCATTATGTTTATCTAAGTAATATATATTTTTTTATTGTTGGGTATTATTGGAATTATAAAATAGGGATGTTATTATATTAAAATTGACAGTAAAAATTATTTGATTAAAAAGTCTTAAACGATTAGTAATAAAATTTGAATTTTGATCTGATTAAATCATATATATTTGTATATTTTTTAAGAATAAATGAGTGAAGTCAGAAAAACTGACTTAACTATTTATTAATTTATAGTAGAAATATATCCATAGTACTTGAAAGTAATTTTCTAAGCCTAATTGATATTAAAATTTCATCTATTAAAAATAATAATTCTTTTTTGTTTAGATATGGAATAAAATAAGCATTGATTGTATTGAATTAAATCAAAATTCAGTTAATCTAAGTTTTGGAAACTTGAAATTTTTAAAAATTAAGTTTCAATGATCAATTAGAATACAAATTATGTTGATTTTATCAACAATTTATATGGTTTGTACTTTGTTTATCCTTTTCATAAAAATCAATATTAAATTTTAAATTTGGGTTTATCTTAGATGAATGTAACATACTTAACAAGATACTAATTCACAGAACATTGCATGGCTTTTGTTTTTTTAACTTACAAGATGATGTTTAAATAAGTACATATTTTTAATTGATAATTTGTAAATTAAAAATTAAAACCCTGGGTAAAAATTAAAAACAAGGTAGCCTATCTTGTTAATACAACTTAAATACTTGGTTCATTATTTTTTTGTCCTCAATTATTAGCTAAGATAATTTTGACAGAAAATATTGTTTACCTACAATCAATATTTAGTGTGTTAAGTTAAATTTACTTTTGTCATTTTATAAATGTTGCTAGTTTTGATAAGGTATAAAATATGCAAAAAAATCTGAGTTTTTACAAACTTTAAAATGGTATTGAAATTTATCCTCTTAATATTAACAAATAAACTTTATTACTAAATTATTTTACTAATTTTACTTTGAAAAATGGCCATTTAAACATTTTTTTTATATACCATGAAAATTTAAAAAATTTAATTTTGTTTGTTAAGTTATAAATATAATATTTGTTATATCATTATTAGAGCCTATAAGTGTTTTATTTTGAAGTTAAATTTCTAATTTAATTTTAAAAGATATTAAAGTTGTTAGAACAAGCTGGGTGTTCCTGTGTACATGATTTTTTCTCTCTTGCTTTATCTCTCATCTTATTTGAAGTTGGCTAAAATTGATATGTGCTTAGTTTTTTACTATATGTTTGTTTTTTTAACAGGTTAATTCAATAATTAACAGTGTACAGTTACTTAAAATATTACAATTCTAAAGAAGGCTGATGTTTATATAAATTCTTATGCTGAAAACTGGATGGATAGTATTTAATTCATTAGAAAAAAAATGTTGAAGAAATTATAAATGTACTTAAAGTTATGTTCACATTTTAACTTCTAAAACTATTATTGTTGCCATATTAATTAATTAGATATAAGTAATTTTTATATAAAAAAATAATTTGAATTGTTAGTACATTTTCAGGTATTTTCTAATGATAATAAAAGCAGATAATTTGTTTTTTTATTTATTTTACTAATATTCTAAACGGCTATATTATATTACAGCTATATATTTGTATGGAATTTGTTGTTCCAGTTCCTAAAATAAAAATTATCCAAATTTTCTTTTATTGTATTGACTTTATTAATTTCAATAACACTTTTTTTTAACCAAAGCTTTACATAACACAGAAACAGATACCATAATCAGTAGTGTACTTCAAAAATTTTTATAGAAATGTGTTCAGATAGCTATCAAAATGTAAAGTAGTAAGGAGTTTCATCCATTTACTCTCTTCATTAATGTGATTTTAGATCAATGAATAGTATGGTCTCCCCGCAAATATACTACTGCTCATAAAACTGTAAAATCTTATAAATTAACTTAATTATTTAAAAAGCACAAAATCAAATAATTCATAAGATAATTTTATTTTAAATTGTCTAACAATCTTTCATTTGAGTCCAATGACATAATTACACTGTAAATGTAATATAATCCATAAAACAAAACAGTGTAATTTTATTAGCCTTTTTAAAAAATGTTTTTTTATTAAGATAAAATATAATACTATCTTAAAATATCATTCTATCTTATTACGGATTACTCATTAGAATGTAAACTAAAAATCAAATGTTTAAATAATGGCGGTACAACAATTTAGTAGTGTATTGACATAGATGTCGCTGTGTACTCAACTGATTTGACGACACTGTAACACGCGGGCGCACAGCAAAACGTCGTCGGTCGCTGGCAAGCTCCAACAGAGCAGTGGTCGCCCCTTCTTAAATATTGTTATTTTCTATTTCTGTGCGTTTTGTGTTGTACTGTAAAGTGTTTTCTGTCTTTACGAATATTTCTCGTTCACCTTTCATTTTACGCGTTACGTTTATTTAACTTACGCGATTGTGCGGATCTTCAATCGTTGACACAGATATCTTAAAATATTTCTATTGTTGTTTGTTTCGATATTGTAATATTCAAGTGCTGAGAAGAAAAACGTGTTCAGAGTGTGTATCAGCGTATATTGATACACACGCGTGCGTTAAGTCTGGTTAATTTTTTTGGAGGTTCTGTTTGAGTTTTAATAGGTTAGTATTAAAGTTTTTTAAACAATTTTTTATTTTTATTAATAATATGTGGTTGGTTAAAAAATAAATTAATTGCCATTAAACTTCTTACGTATGTATACTTGTGTTGATAACTTAAAAACTAGGGCAATGTGAAAGGAATGACCATTGCAAAACAACCAATAAATTCCATAATATTTTTTCTATTAACATTTTGATATTTTATTATTTTATAATTTTAATATAATATATCATTTGTTCTAAATTTTAATTAAGATTACTTAACAAATTTGAGTTATTAAAAATTCAATTTTAAAGCATTTTTTTGAATACTTTTAATGGAAATTTAGTTTCCCTATAGATAGTTTTATATGCTAAGTTAAGATATTTTAAGTATTAAATAAGTAGGTAGGTCAAGTTTTGAATAATTTTTTTTTTTAATTGATAATTCTTGTGCTTTAATTTTCGAAATAGATGTTTTTTTGATAAGTACTTCCTTTGAGTATTTATTGTTAATCTAATTATAAGTTAAAATATTTTGAATTTCACTCTTTAAATGATATATTGTAAAATAACAAATATTCTCTATAGTATTTGAGTATTTAAAGTATGTTTTATAAGTATATTACTTAAACAAATATATCAGTTAAAAATCTGTAGAATTTTTTTTGTGATATTATGGCATCAAAATAATAAAAATATCCTTGGACATATATTTCATTATAGTTACATTAAATATATATAAAGGGTACACTGAATAAACAAGGAAAATCAATTTTTTTTTTTTTTGAAAATTGAGATTTTGGTGACTAAATATGTTAAAATTTAAGTTACTAAACTAGTGAAAAAGTGGATTATTTGAAAGTATTGTTGTACTTTTCAATAACATGGTGTTTTAATAATTAAAATTCAATTTTTTTTTGTTAACAATAAATTAACTTTCCTTTTTTTTTCTGTGTTTACAGAGTTAACTCAACTAAACAATAAAATAATGAGTTAAAATATTTATTTTTAATTTAATTTGTTAGTTTAATAAATTTCGCACTTAATTACTAAATTACTTATTAATATCAAATGCTATTTTTTTTTATTATTTTTTACATTTAAAATAAAACTCATGATTTTAATTAGAAAAATGAAGGTACCCAAAGAAGAATCCAAAGAACAAAATAACGATAACACTGTCAATGATGATGACAATGATAGTAATCCTTACGATGCAGATTCTAACTCAGATTCAGTTGACCAACCTACCAGAGATGGTGATTTTTCTGAATATATGTGGATGGAAAATCAAGAAGAATTTGATTTACAGGTAATATATAATAACGCAATTCTATTATTAAATTGAAAGATTTTATTTAAAAAAACTTCATTAATTAAAATTTTAAATTATCATTGTTCATATCTCAAATTTTTTAAGTTGTTTTAAATTATTTAAAACATTGAAAAGGTATGAAGTATTTGACTATTTAATCATTTACTTTATTTGTTGAAAACTTAATTATAAATTTTCTATTTGGGTTAGAAAATGGAAAATTTGTTTAAGAAAAATAATTTAATTAAAAAAAAATGTAAAACTATTATGTTCAATTTATAGGTCATGAAAGAATTAGAAGAAAAAGAATTAATGAAAGAATGTTTGGAAGCTATGTTAGATGATGAGCACAGTAAATCTAATGGCGGAAGTGCTAATGGTGATGCGCAAACGTGAGTATGAATTTTCTTCTTGAAATATAAAAATTTTTAATTAACTTAACTATTATAGAAACGGATCTAGCAGTTCAATGATTAACAGAATTGAAAGAATGAGTTTAAATTCATGTAATAATGTTGAACAGCCAAGACAATCAACAGTAAGTTATTATGATAACTTAATTTATTTCATCTAATATTAAGTTAAATTTTAATTAACAACTTAAAAAATTAATTAACAAATGTTATAGTCACTAATATATAAGTAAATTTTATATTATTTTAATAAATTATTTATAATTAAAAAACAAAAAGTTACTTTTTTCTTTACTTTTTTAGAGTACTCTCAATCCAGATGCAGCAGAATTTGTACCAGGCACTAGATCACTGAATAATTCATCAGTGGTAGTAGCAAGTCCATCATAATATGTAAAATTATTCTAAGAACATAACTTTACAATATTAAAATGAGAATCTACTATTCACTATCGCTAAATATATTTTCATGAAATGAAAAAAATGTTAACAAAAAATGGCTGTGATGAGGTTTTTTATAATCATCATTATACTCATAACACTTCTATACTACACTTTAAAATTTAACATTTAAAATTAATGACTTATGTGAAAACATTAATTTTATATTTATTTAAATAGATATATTTTTAATATGGTTTTACAGAATACTTATTTTTAGTATACTTTAAAATAAATTTATTTTAATACCTAGAAATCCATTTAAAGTTTTATAGATATTTGTTAATCATACTAAGAATTGTTATAAGTTTCAACTTGTTCATAGTTATTGATTCTGATATTGATTAAATTAGCTAAGTTATATTTTAAGTTCTACTTTATATTTAAAAATATTATCTTAAGCAACCAATAGTAAAGGATCATGTTGTAATGAATGAAGTGTGGATAATTTTTTTTTTATTTTACTGTGGTACTTTACAATTATGTAAATTAGTTTTTGATGTATGGAAGATAAATAGATTTTTAAATCACTTTTATTATGATAAAGTATTAGAAAAAGTCAATTTTTTGTCCAACTGTTATGTTTTATGCAATATGCTTAAATAAAACTCTAAACAAAATTAATTTGCTTTAACACAATAAGAATATTTCTGAATAATAATTTTATTACACTGTAACCAATTATTTTTCCTTTTTTTTTAGTTAACTAATATATCCAATATTTTATTTAAAAATAAAAATTAAACTGTTTAATGATAGTATTTAAATTTTTTTACAATAGTTTTGTAATTTTCGAATCAAAAATGACTTCTAAATATTTACTCTCCGTTTTATTTTTTTTTATCATGTGTACATTAATTTGTTAAATATGAATCTTAAATAATAATAATAATAACATAATTGACTATTTAGTGATATAATATGGAATATTTTTATAAAATGTGTCTATCTATATTTGTATAAATATTATTGTACGTTTTTCTAGTTAAATTATTGGAAATGGCTTGATTGGTTATATGTTATGCTTGTAAAATTTTATATAATTTAAGTTTGAGTTGGTTTAAAAATTAAAGTTAAAATTCAATATATTATAATATCAATAAAACTCCAACTATGAAAATATTGGATGAATTCATGGTTATTAAATACGGTTATGGGAATTACATATACTTGGTATTTAGGTTAGTTTAACTTTCTAAATATTTTCAATAATATAAACTGGAAAATTCATAATTAACTTTGTGCATACATGTTTTTCTATTTTTTTTTTTTGTAAATACATTTTATTTCTTCTATGTATTCAGCTACATTTTTCTTATTTTCCTAAAGTGAAATAAGTCTCATAAGTTATCCGTATTCTGTGCATTAATTATAAATAGCTTATAGTTTTTGGAACTTAAAAAATTATTTTAAATGTCGATTTGAGTATATATATTTATACATTTACTAACAATTTAAATTTCTAAATTATGTTGCTACATGATACAATAGTTATCTTTTACTAATAGCGTAAACAATTTTATTTTAAAGTAAATAAAACTTCATTGTTATGCATTCATGTAAAAAAATTTACTGGGATTTACATTACACTTTATTAGTGTTGTTTGATGTTAAGCTGATGATTTAATTTTTAATTATTTACACTATTCTTTTATATGCATGCGAAATATGAATTGAATCAAACTTCAATTATTATATTCATTATAATTAATATGGTTCATTTATTTAAATAAAGTAAAGTTGTGATAAGTTGTCATTTAGTTTGTTCATTACCTGTAGTTTAAAGTTATAAAAATATGTGCTTATTAAAAATTAGAAAGATAAAATGTAATTTTTATTACATTTTTAAAGCCTTATTCAAAAACTTATAAGTAACTTATCAAACAAAATTATAAAAAATGAATAAATTTTGGTACTACTCAAGTGTAGTTATGTGTTATGTCGTATACAACAGTATATATTTGTTATTGCTTATGTCACACTGGTCTTAAATAGCTGTTGATAACTAATACATGAAATAACCAGATAAAGTAAATTAGATGGCTTTAATTATCATACTTTAGTTACAAGTAAACAATAAAATCATATTTATACCTATTTCTTGGCTAAATCATGATATTTTAAAATAGTACTTTTTACTTTAAAGTCTTATAGTATAATAAGAAATAAAGAAATCAATTGAAGATTAAAAATACATACATTTATTAGATGTTTAACAAAGGTATACTTAGCATTTTAATATAAATTATAACTAAATATTGAATAGAATCTTGTATCATAATCTAGCTTGATTACAAAACTCAGTTAAAATTTAAAAAAAGAAATTTTTCAGTTTTGATAGATTTATTATTATATTACATATATGTAATAACAATTTTTTTTCAAATTTCATAATTAGTAAAAAGTATGTGGATATTCATTGTTTTTCTGAAGATAAATAGAAAAATATAGGCATTTAGTAATCAAGTTAACAATATACTTTAACATTTAAAAACTGGGTACGAGAAATTGAAATTACTTTAGTTTTATCAACTTAATATTCATTTTCTAGTAAAATTATTTTATATTCTTTTAAAATAAATTTATAATTTATTAGGCATTCACTGGTATTTATTTTAGATATAGTGCATATTTTTAAAAAAATGTGATTTTCTAACATTGCAAGACTTATGTATTTAATAAGAAATAATTAAGATTCTTTGTATTGCAACTTTATACCCTGTTTTATATGGTGTCTAATTAATAACAATATAATGTCAAATGCATAAAGAAGAACAATTGAGCAATTTATTAATGATAATAACAAATATCTTATTGAAAAACGAATATACATTTTATTTACAAAAATACCTTTGTTTGAAACTCAACTCATTTTTCTAATAATAAATTTAAAAAAGAAGAACAAATAGTAACAAATATTTGATAAATCTCATAATCTAAACAATAAATATGTACTTAGTAACTTTAAAACTATTTTTCATGGTAAAGATTGAATGATTTTCAGTCTAATAGTTTTAATTAATGTTCTTAAATAGTTATATAGGGATCCAAGGCGGTTGATTCATTTCATGTAGTGATACAAATGTCATATTGAGTGGGAAAAAAATTGGCAGTTCTTTTAACTTTAATTCAGCCATAGTTGATTGAATTAAATGACTGGAAAAATAATAATTATGTCAAATGATTACCTATGTAATACTTTATTCAATTGAATCATATTACTTAAAAAGAAAATATATTTAATTTTTTGATAATTATAAAATAATGGTAGAAAACTAATTAAAAAAGAAGAGGAAAATAATAATAATAATTATAGACAGTATTATGACAGAATCTTTATAATACATAATAAACCTAATTTTCATATATATTTTAACACGGCATTATTATGTCTTTATTTAAGTTTTTTACATAAAACAAAAAAAATAAGTACTTATATTGTTTCCTTCTGCAATTTTTTAAATTATGATTATGGAGCTACTCCTGCGGAGAAAGGACCTAACATGTAAGAGATCCCTGGGGCGCAAATTTTTTTAGTCAGACCCTGATAAATAACAATCTATAATTTGAAGTAAGTATAACAAAGAATATTTTAATTGGTAAGTAATTAAGATAAACTAGAGTGATGAAAAGAATAAATTTGTTTGAATTTAGGATGCAATTAAAATTAACACTTGATCATAGTAAAATAGCTTTGAACATACACATTTTACCAGATATTTTATGAAATATTTAATTTTGTAACATTAAGTATACAAATAAGTATTGTTTTATTTTTTTACTACTAATAGTTTTAAATTATTACAAATTTACATAACAAAAAGTTAATTGTGATGAATTGTTAAATTTTTATAACAAATATATCGCATACCATTCAGTTTTTAATATATGGGCTTACAAATTACACAAAAATAGTTACCCAGATTTCCCAACTAAAAATCCAGCAGGAATGTTAGCTTTTAACTCACTGTCATCATTTATCATATGTACATAAGCAGAATCATCATAAATATTACTGTCTGTGATTATAACAGCTTTTGCTCCACATGATTCCATTACTAGGGTCTTTTTTAAGAAACTGCAATCTCTATAACAATTAATTAAATATCATGTAAGCAATCTCTCATTTAATATAGAAAATTTAAATAACAAACCCTCTTTTCACAAATGCTACTTTTCCTTTAATTGCTCTAGCATTTTTTGGTTTATGACATCCATAAATAGGATCAGGAAGTATCAGCTTATTATTTTCAGGAGGAAAATTCTCTTTACGCTAAAAATATGAGTTTTATGTTAAATTTTATTTTATAATCTACAAAATAAATATCCTTACTATAATATAAATTGAATGTTTATACTCAGTAGGTATACTCAATAACATTTTTTTTATTATTTATGTATAAAATTAATAAAAAAAAAAAAGGTTTATTGTGAAAACATCATTGATTAGATCATAATAAAGTACAATGATTTAATATAAGATAATTTGAATAGATAATATAATAATAAGAGTTAAAATTTTGTATACATACAAAAGGAATACCAATATCTTTTGCTGGTCTTATGCGATAGGTATATTGTAATTCTGGAGGATACATTATCTCAAAGAATAAATCATCACCATATTCAAACTCTTTTATATTAACTATACCTCCAGTTAAATCACCAATAGTATCTAAAAATATTTTAAAATAAGGAAATTTTTTATTAATATTATTTTTATTTATTAAAATTAAAAAAAATTGATTGTAATTACAATATAAGTTTAAGGCTGTCAAAAAAAAAACTGTAAGGAGTTTGAAAATAATTGTTAATTTTTGAATTAAAAACATATTTAATCAGAATTAACACAAAACAAAAAAATTGATTTGAAGACGTGCAGATTCATACCACTTATGTGTTATTTTGCGATTTGGTAAAAAAAATTATTAATTTTTCAAAGAATAATTTAGTAAATATCACCAACATAAATTTATGCGCATGTGTAATTACCAGTAATTTAAAACAATAGCAAAAACAATTTATCAATCTTGACGAATTCACTTTGATAACTGTTATCAGATTGTCAACTTCATATATGTCGGTTTTTAATTTGAAAAGATTTTGATAAATATCAATTAGAATTTTTTCTACTGGCAGATATTGTTGTATTTTTGATCATCGTATTTTTTACAAATATTTGTAATATAGATTCTTTACATTAGTTTCTGTCAAAAATATTATCTATTTAATTATTTTAATTACCAAACCTTTTATTTTTCTAGGAATTTAGAAAGTTAAATTTAAGAATTATATTTTCAATGAATATTTTTTTAATTACTTAATTTTAATAAATAATTATGGGTAAATTACTTTTCAAAAATAATAAACTAACTTTTACATTTAAAATATTTGTATACATATTTCAAATACGTAATGCATTTTAAACAATTTTTGTATTAAACCAATATATTAATGTCCTAGCATATTATGTTCGCGCAAAAGCCAAAAAAGGTTTTTTTGTTACCAATGAATGATCAAACTTAATTGAATTAAAATTTATGTTCGATAAAGAATGTACTCAATAATTTAGGATTATATTAGTTACTGTAATAATTTATTATATATTACATTATCAATTTGAGCTGATTAGTAGGATATATTTTGTAAGTCACTTGTATCTTTCATAATAGCTGAGTCCGATGCAAAAATAAGACTTTTTGATACTAATTAAATTAATTAATTCTTATGTATAATGGTTAGCTATAATGTATCTTATATGAATCATAGTTAATAGTGTTACGTTATTTTATACATAATATTATTTATTTTACAGAGGTATTTTAATATTTGATAATAGAGATATACATAATTAAAACAAATGTGATCATATCTATTGATTTTAAAGTATTTAAAAAACGTGTATCTTGAAAATTTTTACTAGGATCTTATATGATTTTTATGAATTGCTCTAATGAAATTTATTCGAGGTATTCTTCATCACACTATCTTTGAATTGTGATATTATATACCTAAATATCTCTTTAATTAATTTCATTAAAATCACTATTTTTATTTTTATATTTTTATCGTAATAAATCATTTTAATAGAAATAATTGTAATCATTTCTATTTAACTCTTGTTGTTTAAAAAGGTTCTACAATTGAAATATTCAAAACTTATTTAATATTAATGATTTACTTTAATTAAAAAAAAAACAATCAAAAAATCGTTATAAAATCAACTCAAATTGATTATAAATGTAAAATCCATTGTTATATTTAGGTGAAAACCAAAATAATTTTTTAGGAATGATTTTTTGGCAGTTATATGTTGGTAAAAAGTTTGGAATATTATAGATTAGTAGTAGAACACACCAAATAGTTAAAAAATTAATTAATAACAAAGTAAAATTATTTAACTTTGTAATAGAAATCTATTATAATAACAAACCTAACTCGGCAATATATGAAATATTATTAATGAGAAAGTTGACTAAGCAATATTTAACTTGTTAAAGTGGAATTTCAATTTCTGAGTGTTATATATTAATTCAAAAAAAAAATTATTTTTAAAAATGTTTTTTAATGTTTTTGAAGTTTAAAGTCAAAATAAATATTTTTGGATTAAAAATTAAGGGAAATTTGTCCCTTCTTACATTAATTTCTTAAAAATACTTTCAAATAATATTTTGTACAACAATTTATAAAATATTTTTAATTTTTTCAATTTTTACACGTAAATCGTACTTTTATCTTTAACTTTATTCGCTTTCATCATGAAGACATATACNAAAAATACTTTCAAATAATATTTTGTACAACAATTTATAAAATATTTTTAATTTTTTCAATTTTTACACGTAAATCGTACTTTTATCTTTAACTTTATCCGCTTTCATCATGAAGACATATACAGAGGTAAAATTTTTTTTTCAAAATATAGTACATTACATAAGCTTTTATTTAAGGTATGTATAAAAATGTCAGTATTTCCATAACATTTTTGAAATGATGACTTAAAAGTGCTACTCTTTATATGCGTGTTTTGAACATAGTGTATATATGTATAGGAAATAACTCGATTTAAAAATATTATGTTTGATGAAACAGATATGTATAAAGTACTTATTAAAAAAAATTTGATTGATCCATTAATTTTTTAAAAACTTATTGCAATATAAAGTTAAAAATATAATATAGAGAATTTTAACACAAAAAATAGAATATTTTTGAATACGGTAGCCATTTTCACCATGAAGTCAATAGGTTCATGTTTTTTTTTGAATTTAAGTATATTACTTAAGAATTATATAAAAGTGTCAGTNGAAGTCAATAGGTTCATGTTTTTTTTTGAATTTAAGTATATTACTTAAAAATTATATAAAAGTGTCAGTTTTTTCAGAACATTATCAAGAGTTAAGGTGAAAGATTTTTAATATATATATATATCAAATAATAGGAAAATATCTAAGGTTTCTATAAAAAAATTGTTTTTATTCATTCATCTTTCAAAAATTTATAGCAGTTTTAAGTAAAAACGATTTAAAAATTACTGATTTTTAAATTAAATTTTTTCGGGTAATTTTTCTCATTAATGAGGACATTTTTTGAATTCTTCTACTAGGGCCTTCCTTTAGTTACTTTCTTGAATATCACTGCAAGAACATTTAAACAAAGTATTATTATTCAATTTTGGGGGAAAATATTAATAACTTCCACCATAATTAACACAATAATGTGATATTTCGAAGCAAATTTGATTAAGCAATTTTTTCTCATAATTTAAATATTTTATTTATTTTAAAATACGACTTCAAGAATATTTATAAAGTTTTTAATTATGTAATAATTGACAAAATTATGTTGAATAAAGTAAACTGATTTTATAAAATAGCCTAATAAACTAAAAAATTTCATTTTTCCTATCGGTATTTAAACTTTTGGTTTATACTGTATGTTATATACTTAATAAATATATATAATACAATACAAGTCATATTGTTATTAAACATTGTATATTAATATTACTTATATACATTATTGAACCACAATATAATTCGAATATAATTAAAATATTTTATATAAATATCAATACGTATATATATGTATTAATACATGTTTAATTCATTTTTTTCATGAGTATAGTATTAAAGGAAACCAGTTTAGGTGTGTGACGAATGACAAATACTCATATTGAATAGACCGGTTTTTGACTACAAATTAAAATGGAGATGGAACTTAAACTTCAATATTTATTTTATTTCTAATTACATTTATTTTTATTTTTTGGTTCGTGATGGTGTTAAAATACAGTGTTTAAATCATAGTGTCTTTTTAACAATGTTTCGAATTTAATAAAATCGTAGATTTAAATTTTACTTGAAAGAAATCGAATTGTATAAGGTACATTCTTTTAAAGTTATTGCAATTTAAATTTTATTTGTAAGAGTATTCATGCTAAACATGCGTTAAGTAAAAAGTATTTAAATATTATGGACAGTATCTTTCTACAATGTCACGGTGAAATTTAAAACAAATATCTATAAAATATTATCTACTAGTAATATTAAATATACATTTATTATATTAAATGTTCACAAGTATGTTTCAAAGTTACTTTTATCCAATAGATTAATTACAAGCAATAATGACAAAAATTTTAATGTTTCCTTGTGCATTTACTAGTTTATTTTTCCTTGAGATATCAACCTAGACCTTCGGTATAGAATACTTCGCAGAAATTAGCAATTTTTTGTTAAGTAAGAGCAAGTGCCAAATAACCTGAGGTTATTTTGTTTACTCGACGTCATCTATTAGATAATTGTTCACTCGTATTCAAAATATCATTAATAAACAATAACGATAGTATTCTGACTAGTTTACATGCTCTAACGTTATAAAAACCTATTAAAATAATATTTATTATTGTGAAATAATAGATAGAAAGATATTTTTTAAAAACAATATAGTGAAACTATTACACGCATTGCCTATCAGTAATTTTAGCAGGTATATTCTCAATTTGAAATTAAAATTTTATTAACAATCATGAACATTCTTAAACCTTAGGTGTTTGTGTCTTCACTGATCCGAACCAGATAAAAACGAGCAAAACATTAATGATAAATAAAAGTTCTTTGTAATAACATGACAATCAACCGTATCAGTTGACCTGCGGTCATGTATTTCTAATTCTAGATACCTATCTACCCAAACACGCGTTTTCCGTCCTACGAGTGTTAACTGTATTCATTGAACCTTAGGCTTTATAAGTGCTTATGATACACCTTTCAACGTGTGATTTTATACCATCTCTCCGTTCATTTAAACTTGATATCCATGAACATTGACATCGTATCATTAGCAGACGTTAGTGTGCCGTTAAGTTGTCTGAATGTAAAAAAAACACGCTAAGGCAACATAGTGATCAATTTTCATAAGCGCAAGCATTCAACAATCAACTAGTTGTTATAACTTTATAATGGTGTGTTTTGTTTGATGTGTAGATATTTGATTTTATCATGGAAAGTATTTTACACGTAACATGGTTGATATTTTTGCTCAAAGCCGTTAATACGCAAGTAAATTCCGGTAAGTACCAAACGTCCAACGTTGATAAATTTAATTAACAGTTCATAGTAAATATTAAGCATTGATCTCATTGATTTTTTTTTTGCATTATAAAATTATTATTTTTTCAAAATATACGGATTTTAATTACCTGGTATATTTACATTATTGGCAAAGATTACTGTTTAAATAATCTGTCACATTAAAATTTGAAGTACTTTTATATTTTATAAGTAAAACATTGAATTTTACTTAAAAATGAGAAAAATACTTAATTACATATGAATTTAAAATTTTTACCTCTATTGATATGGCAGTGGTGCAACTGGGATAATGAATATTTTTTTACGATTTGCTCATGAAAGAATTTTTTATTTTTAAGTTATTATTGAGTTCTAATTTTTAAGCAAAATTTAAGCAAAAAAAAAAATATATATATAAATTATCAAAATTGATTAATATTGTAAAAAATCTAGTGACAAGTTAAAGCAGATTGTATGGTTGAATTTTAGATTTTCATTTTGAAATGTATTACTTATTTTTCTATCTTTTTAGTTCAACCAAACTAGATTTTATATTAATATATTTTAATTTAGGTTTTGGTTTGTTATCAATTGAATAATTTTTTTTTAATCACACGCCAAAAATATTTAATCAGTTACCTTGTAATAAATAATTTGTAGAGTAGTTTCAATTTAAAATGTTTCGTTTATATAGGTAACAAATTAATGATAGTTAATATATTAATAACTTAAATTTTTCTCTCTCTCTTTTTTTTTTTTTTTTAAATTTCGTGTTCAATCCTTTAGAATCATTATTGGTTAAAAATCGCTAAATATTTTTTCTTCGATGGAGAAGATATATAATTTAATTATTAAATTTGTTCAAATTAAAATCAAAAATAAAATAATTCACCAGTGAAAAAATATTAATGTTTGAAAAGTTTCCCCATAAAGTATTTAAGGTTATTGATCTGTATTTATTAAAAATGTTTTAAAAATTAAATAAATGGATAATTAAAAGTATATTTTGATTACACTTGGAATGGCGTTAGTTAAATTATCACTATTATCATTAAATTGACCAATTAAAATTCGTGGTAAACAAAAATATTGTCTTTAAGAAAACAATATTAATTAACCAATGAAAATTAGATTTTTAAAGTTATACAGTTTATTTTAATAGGTTTAGTTGAGCGATCTAAAAGCTTTGTAAAGCAAGGTCGTGTTTTGACCTTGATAAAATGTAGAACCTTTAAATTACAAGTGTTATCATTAAATGTTGACGAAAACTCGCGTATATGCATAGCATATATACATTATTATATAGAACTTAAATGTAGGTTATTATTAGTAGGTTAGTTCGAAGTACTCTTTTTTTATTGTTATAATTTAATTGTATGGACTTTTTACATTTAAATGAGTAAATAACGAAATCGATATAATTTTTATAAAATATTTCAAGTAGATAAAATAAAAACGAATTGCTATCAAACAAAAGAAATCAACCGAATGTATTGTTTTTTATCAGAAGGTTATTGAAAAAGGACCATACATATTAAAAAAGAATCATTATTTAGGTCCCTCAATATTTTTTATTCACCTGTATCTATAAAATTATCATTTCGGTCATTATTTGTAATGCATACATTTTTTGACTACGAGTTGTTGAAAATTATTAAATATTAAATAAATTCATTTGTTTCTCGTAGATTGTTTTACGCCAAATGACGAAAATGGAGTTTGCGTGAACATAAAACGTTGTCCGCATTTATTGAATTTATTAGAAAGTCAAAGGAGAAATAGTACAGTTGTTGCTTTTCTTCGAAATTCCATGTGTGGATATGAAGGTAGAGATCCTAAAGTTTGTTGTGGGTTAGATAATGAAAATGCAAACAACAACGTAAATATGAATAGCAATAATGGAAATGATGATAATTTTGGTTCAAGTACCAGACCGACAAGACCAGGAACAACTCAAAGACCAACAACTTCTTCATATTCTGAAACAGTGATATCTTCTAAACTACCTTTATTAAATTCGTGTGGCCGTAGTAACGCCACTCAAAACAGAATAGTCGGTGGTCAACCAGCAGATTTAGGTAAGTTTTAGTTTATGGTGCATCGTATAATACATCATAGATGTCTAAACAAAGAATCACCATTTAAAATATGTAATATCATTTGAAATTGAAATAATCTAAGTAAAATTGATCTTAGACGATTGGCCTTGGATAGCAGCTTTGGGATATGTAAGTAGTAATTCAAGACAAAACTCAAATTCGCCTCAATGGCTTTGTGGTGGCACGTTGATCGCCGACAGATATGTTATTACAGCCGCTCACTGTACTGTCGGAATCGGTCAGAGAAGACTGTAAGTTTAAACATTTATGTTTTTCGAAAAATATTAATTAACACATTTTTTAAGTACAAAAAACATGTTTTGCTTAATTTTATTAAAATTTATTCATATATTTTAATTAAAATATCAGAGCTATCGCACACTTAGGGGATTTAGACTTGAATCCCAACGTGAGAGACGGAGCTGGACCGGTTGATGTTCCCGTCGAAAGAGTAATGACTCATGAAAACTATAATGCACAAGACTATACAAATGATATTGCGTTGCTTAAGCTTGATCGTTCTGTTGGCTTTAACAGTCAGTAAAAATTAGTAAATTAGGACGATCTTAACTTGACATTGAATCATTTTTTTAGGACACATTCAACCAATCTGTTTACCTATTTCGTCTGAATTGAGAGCCAATAGATTCGTGAAAAAAATGCCATTCGTTGCTGGATGGGGCGCTACGTCTTTTCGTAAGTTTAAAAATTTATGTTAATACGTTATAAGTTTAGTATACTATAATATATAGGATTTTACTTGTTATTTCTCTACAATTGAGCAATATAACTTTGTCGCATCTACAAATTTACTTAAGAACATTTTATTGACGGATAAAATTAGTTTAATTAATAAAAGGATTATTGATTACTAACTAATATAATTATTAATTATATGATCAGTAGATTTATTTAACCAATTGTAAAATTGAGCTTTTAACTACTTGTTGAGCATATTTAAAATTTAAAAATAATTATTAACTCAGAGTATTCTTTACTTGAAATTTAATATTTTACTTAGGTGGACCATCGTCTACAGCATTGATGGAAGTACAAGTACCTGTCGTAGAAAATGCTGACTGCAAACGTTCATATGTTAATAAAAAGACTGTGATTGATGATAGAGTACTCTGTGCTGGATATTCAACTGGTGGCAGAGACGCTTGCCAGGTACATCTGACCGTTAACGTTTATGAAATAGCATGTTGATCAAGTGATATAATTTTAATTTATTAATCATAATACTTAATAATTTTTAGGGTGATTCTGGTGGCCCCTTGATGTGGCTTAGTGGAAATCAGTATTATTTAATAGGAGTGGTATCATTTGGTTTCAAATGCGCAGAGCCAGGATTTCCTGGTGTATATACTAGGGTTACACATTTTGTTGACTGGATAGCTGAAAGAATGAACAACAGTTAATCTTAAAAATACTGTTTACCTACTGGTAAATTGTCATACATTGATTATTTAATTTTGTATAGTTGCTATTTATTTCAATTATTATTATAATAACTAGTTTTTAAAATATTATTGTTTTAAGTCTTACATTTGATAAAACAAATCCTTAAACATTATAGCTATTATTGTATAATAAAGTCGATTGTACAGTTATTTAACACAATACAGATTGGGTTAGTATAACAAATAATAATATATTTTAAAAATTTGAATTTTTTAGGCTCTTGGTCGTCCTACGGGTTCTAGGTGTTGGGAGTGGCATACTTATACTGGTAAATATTTTATCGTCTTAGTCAGATATTATTCGATATAAAGATTGATTCATTTGTCACAACCACTCCATTACGTACACAATAAAAATAATTATATCAATTATTAAGTATATTTTCAGTATACCCCTTATATCATTTAAGTACCTAAACTTAATTTTTTTAATAATACGTATTGAATTAGCTAAAATGACTTAGTACAAAATATTATCAAGATACTCTGAACACAATTAAAGGGTATTGAAGAGAAAAAATTCTTCTTTTTTTTTTTTTAAATCACATTTTATATGTATAAACATATAAATTTTGTTAATATTCAAATTTTGGTTAAAATATTTATGGTAGTGCAAAACTAATAGCATATTTGGAATCAGCGTCGAAAACCTAGTAGATAAAAAAAAATTATGAGAAACATTACAAGACCCAATTTTTTAGATTTGTAGTATATTATTTTGGGGATTTATAAAATAGATCTGGTATATTAATGTGGTATAAGGGGTTGTTGACATGAAAAATATTAATTTATAAACTGAGAAACAAATATAAATAAAAAATGCCAAACAAAAAAATTTTAATTTATACAAATCTATACAATTTAATTTATACAATTGTATAAATTGCGATTTAATTAAAAATTGTAGTTCCATAGTATATACAAGGTAACTCCTTAACTAAGGCTCAGGAAATATTTTTGAAAATATTAGATTTAACCATTTTTTTTTTTTGTAACTATAATGATTGTTGAGTTTTTTTATGAGAAAAATTAAATGTCTACTATCATCTTTTATGTCTTAAACTATCAACCACTTTTATTTTTCAAATTACAACCCTATTTTTTTAATCATCAAGTTAGATTGAATAAAAAAAAATTGTAAGAAAATGTCTTTATTTTGTTCAATTTCCACTGAATTACTAGTTTTTTAAGTTTAAGGGAAGTGAAAAAATGAACATTTATTTATATAAAGCGCGAATGCAATAAATTGCCAACATACCTAAGCTTTAACAATCATTACAAACATTGCTAAAAACCGGTAGCACTTATTGATTTACAGCGTTTTATAAATTAGTAAAATCTATCTAAGGGGTCGTATAATCGAAACGTATTGATTAAATAAGGCGAGAAATGAAGACATTTTGTGGATTATTAAGAAAATTATTAAAAATTTTTATTACATAAACCTAAAAAAAATGTCCAAATTTTTACATACTGGAATTCTTAACAAATGCAATGTAAGGGAAAATTTTGATGAATAATGATAAAAATGTATTATTTGTGTGCAAATGTTTAATACTTTGTGTCATAAATACACTAGTTGTGTGTTAAATTAACGAATATATTAAAAATATATCACACTGATGTATGAAATTTTATTTTTTTGTTTTAAAGCAATACACTGAAATTACGATGTGTAAAAAAAATTAAATTGATACTATTCAAGGTCTAAACTTTGAACCTATGATAAAATAATTAACATAAAAAAAATGTTCAAGCAAGTAACATATTCCGAAGTAAAAATTAGTATTATTGTATAATTTCCTAATCTGAATTACTGTTGTAATTTTATTTTGCGTCACAAATTAAAAATTTCAATATATTGATTTGTTAAATATTTAGAAGTTGGATTAATAAAACATCTTAAATAGTTGTTATACAAATTTAAATTTAAATTTTATTGGTTGCTGAAAAATATATCATAGTATATTCTCATTTTAAGTTACTATAAAATGAAGATTATAGTTGCAGCAACTTAACACACAATGTGGCGATTCTATTAATAATACTCAAAAACTGTGTACAATATCTAAAATAATATCTTAATATTACAAAATTTAGTGTAATTAATTTAATTTAACAACAAAAGAATGTCGATTTAGTTATTATTCTGAATTTTTTATTTTTATTATTAATATTTATTATTATATAATTCTTTATTATTCTAGTTCTATAATTATTCATTATAACTATGGACAATTATTTGACTAAGTTTTTAAAAATATAATTTAAAAATAAAATATATTCATTTTTAATGTTCGATCTGATATTGTAGGATACAATTTTTAAAATAAATTAAAAATATTTTTTTTAAGATTGGGTTCTTTTTATAATTAAGTGAAAGTAGAGTGCGGGTTAATGTATTATTAATTAATTTGGGGTATGAGCACGAGGGTTTGTAAGAGAAATAGAAAATTATAGAAAAATAAAGTTATCTTTATTTTATTAATAAAATATTTATTTTAATTAATTGTCACATTTTTTGATATCAATAATGCCACGAGTTTTGACGGTTATCAATGATAGGTGGGATTGAGTCACCACTTGTGTCTACCCAGAGTAGTGTGGTGGTTATATATGAATCTCCTATTTAACTTCTGAAATAGACACGTATCAAAGATATAACTGCCAAATAACTATGTACAAACATTATCGATTTATTAAATTTACTTGGTATATTTTTTATTGTTAATAATCACTTGATTATTCCTAGTGTTTACCTAATCTATGTACTCATCAAATTTAATTCTAAACCTTATATATTTTTTGTGAAACTATTAGTCTCCTACCTTAATATTTCCAATAAATACTCTGAAATAAATAGATGTTTTCTTATGCAATTATAATGTAGACCTGGCGGATTACTACTTGATATACTCGATAAGAAAACAGTGTAAATGGGCTAAACGCATTTGAACGTGTTGATAAACTCTGAGAATAACTGACCGCATCAGTGGCAAAATGCTACTTATATTGAGCTTTTTATATTACATTTTATGGTTATTTCAAAGGCAAGAAGTGATCACCGACGCTACCATCATTTCTTTATTAATCATAATTTATTACATGTTATTTATTACATCAATGATCTTTATATTATAATATACTGTCATTTCTTACATAATAACTTAGACATATTTTATTACCCTACATCTTATATGCTACCATTACATATTGTTTATTATTTCCTGATTGTTTTACATAATAATTATGTAAAAAACATATATTAATTATTAATATATGTTTTTTTCTGCAAAATTTCATTAATATATTTTTAAACATTTAAAAGGTATATATGTAGCTTATTTTTATATTGGTATGTCATGTTATGTGATTTATTAATTAAAATCCTACATAGCACATTATAACACTAATGATATACTGTATATCGTAACACATTGTAAGTTGAAATAAAAGTCAATAAAGAAATTTAAAGGAAATCAAAACTCCCATGTATATTGTTTTTATCAATTTAAACAATTTCTAATAGAAATGTCATGATAAATTACGGAAATTTTCGAACAAGATTGTACGTATCAATATAACCTATGGTATTATGGATTTCCTAATTATTCAATATATCATTTATATATTTACATTCAAGTACGTAGAAACAAAAAATAATATGCGATACGCTTTATGTTCAGTATTTATTCATGTACCGTCACATTTAATGATTGTAGATTAGATTTTTATAATTCACTATCATTGTATATGATCGTTTATCGATATTGATTAAATACTGCAAAAGTACAATTATTGACTGTTTCAATTAGTTTTCATTATTATTTATACTTAAATTGTATGCATCATAAACATAAATTTTTTTACGTTTTATTCTATTTAGTGATTATTGTTTGTTATTTATTTTATAATTATAATATGACACGTATTAGATATTTTATTTTATACATTTTCGTTTTTAAAGCAGCTCTTGGACAGTTTGGAGATGAAAGTGAGTTCATTAGTTTTTTTTAATAAAACATTTGCCAAAATATATATTTTTTAAAATATTCTGATTTTAATTAATAGAAATCAAAAGTCTTTTTCTAACATGAGAGTAAAAAGTACTTATAAGTCTTTATATTATGTTTTATTGTAATTATTTTCTTGGGACTCTTTATTTCATTATTTTTACTCTATGTAAATTTATATAAATTGCAATTGATAATCAATGATTAATAAATAATGGTAGCAAAATTTATCTTTAGATTTTTAATTTAGTTACTTTTAATATTAATATTGAGAGCTAAGTAAATTCCTATAAAATTTTAACTTTACTAGATCAAGATCTTATAAGTAATTATATAGCTACGTCTAGTCTGTCTAGTTTTGGTACAGAATTAGTTTTTTAAAACTAAAATTGAGATTTGTAATCGACAAAATAAAATGATATAATAAACTTTGTAAATCCCTACTACATGAAACATTATTCTTTATTAACAAAGAGAGTTTTAATAATTTTAATTTCGATGCGAAGCTGAGAAGGTATTAATTTTACTATGCTGTTTTTTTTTTTTATATATATATTTTTTTTTTTGTGTCCAGGCACGTAGCCAGAAAATGTTTATTGGAGGGGCCAACAATTTTGGGCCCTTGTATCATTTTCCATAATTTGTTTCCCATGAAAAGCTTGTGGGGGGTCCCTCCACTCCTCCTTAGACAGTATCCTATTCTATGAATCTTACAAATTCAAAATTTGTGTTTATTTTTAAAAAAATGGTGGATTATTCCAAAAGCTACATGATCTGCTAGTTCATTATTAATATCCTAATTAAGATAAAGTATGTCGAATGAAAAAGGGATTATTAAAAAATATTATTTCTCATAAAAAATAATGTTGATCTATACACTTTTCAATAAGTTATAATATTAAAAAGTTAAAATGTAAAAAATAAAATCGAGAATTTTCACACGAAAATAGAAGTCGGTAGCCATTTTCACCACAAAGACATGTCCAGAGGTCAATTTCTTTTTTTCAAATTAAAGTATATTACATTAGCTTTAATTTAAGATATATATAAAAGTGTCAGACTTTCCGGAACATTTTAAAAATTTAAGTGGAAAAAGTTAATTTTTTGTGAAAAAGTTGTCATTTTAAATCCCCCCCGTTGGCAGGTAAAGGGTCAGATTTATAAAACAAATACAGTGGACGCCGCTTATTGGACTCACGGTTAATTGACTCATTCGCTTATTAGACTCAAAACGCCTAGTCCCTATTTACACATATACTAACACACAGCAAAAAATTCGTATATTCGACTCACACACCGGTTAATAGGGTCATTTGAAAATTAGATAAATAAAAATAATGTGTACATACATTGAACAAACGTGCTATAAATACGTTATAAGTCGGTCCTAGTAAAATTGCTTTTATCGTGGAGATAAAATAAATTACCTTTTCACGATAAACGAAGCAGTCTTTAATGTCAATTAGTACGACAGGTAGTGTATGAATAGACGTCGTCGTGTACAGTGTGTTGTTTGTGTTTACGTTCTCTGTAAAAATTTTCATTTTTCGTGTTACAATGAACAAACGACGTGATTTGAGTGTAGAAGAAAAATTAGATGTTCTTAAAAAATATGACGAGCTTCCGCAAATGAGCCAGCGACAAGCAGCATGTAAGTTAAACGTGTCTCAAAGTTTACTAGGTAGGATGCTAAAAAGTCGACAGAAAATCGAAAATGCATCATTAGCAAATGTGAATTCAAACCGGAAAAGAAAAAGAGTCGGTAAAGAAGAAGAAGTTGAAGACGCTTTGAAACAATGGTTCACAAAAGTCAGAGAAAAAGATGCCCGAGTTACAGGACCACTGTTGCGTCAAAAAGCTGAGGAACTCGCGAAAAAAATGGACAAAAATAATTTTGTAGCAACAGAAGGTTGGTTTTACCGATGGAAGAAACGTGAAAACATTTCGTTTGTTAAGCCACATGGAGAACAGGGAGAAGCAGACCATGCAGCTGCACGATCGTGGATTCATTCAGAATGGCCATCTCTTATCGCCAAATATCCTCCGTCTAGTGTGTTCAATGCAGATGAAACTGGTCTTTATTTCAGGGCATTACCTGAACACACGTACGCGTTCAAAAATGAAAAAACTAGAGGAACTAAAATTAGTAAAGAACGTCTAACCATATTATGTTGTACGAGTATGGTTGGTGAAAAAAGAAAACTGCTTGTGATTGGTAAAAGTAAAAATCCCCGGTGTTTCAAGGGTGTTAAAAATCTACCGGTCGACTATACTGCAAACAATAATGCATGGATGACAAAAGAAATTTTCACCGAATGGTTGACCAAGTGGGACAATGAACTTCGACATGACGTCTTATTGCTAGTCGATAACTGCACGGCTCATATGGTTACAGTAAAATTCAAACATATTAACCTCACATTTTTACCCTCTAACACTACATCAGTTATACAACCATGTGATCAGGGGATTATACGCACTTTTAAAGCATATTACAGAACAGGCATGAGAAAGAATGTGATCAATGTGATTGATGCTAACCTGGAACAAGAATTATGTACCTTACGTGCTCATGAAATCGCTAAAAAAATAACTGTACTTGAAGGTTTGCATTTAGCCTATGAAGCGTGGAATATCGTCAGCAAAATCACAATACGCAATTGTTTCCGACAAGGTGGTTTCATTATCAGTCCAAAAGAAGTTGAAGCTGTTGTTGAAAGACCCGCTGACCTAACAACTGAACTTTATAATGAATGGATAAATATAGACGAAGAAGTCCAAACTACCGAACTCGTTACCGAGGAAGATATATGTGATGAAATACAGTCAAAACGGCCAAAAGAGAATGTGGCTGGTGATAGTGATGAAGATGAACCTGATGAAAAACCACCATCAACTAAACAAATGCTAGAAGCGCTTCAAATTCTACGCAGAGGGATTCAGCAAAGAGGCGATTTTGACGTATTCGAGCAACATAAATCCTACGAAAATATGATAATGAAGTTAGCCGAAGACGAAAAAGTCCAATCAACCCTAGATGAATTTTTATCAAAAAATTAGTTTCATTAGTGTTTTATTGACATTTATGACTACTGTCATTATTATTTATTTTGTTATTTAACTTTGTATAATATTACAAATATACATATTATATAGTCTTCGTAGGATTTTAATTTTCGTCTCGTCGTTACCTCTTATATAATATGAATATATATATATATAAATATTAGTGGACGCCGTTTATTAGACTCATTCGGTTAATGGACTCAAATGGTCAGGTCCCAAAGTGAGTCCAATAAGCGGCGTCCACTGTATATCAAATGAAAAATAACGATATCATGCATCTATATAAAAAAGTTATGGCAATTTTAAGTAAAAAAAATTTTAAAAATTTCGAAAATTAGCGATTTTTAAATTTGTAATTTTTTTGGAGGTTTCCCCCATTTACGGGGAACGAGGGAAAATTTTTCAATTTTTGAGGGTAATGTCTTCGACTAGATATAATTTGTGATCTTTTGACGTATCATTGAAAGAAATTGGTTCAGTGAGAGCTGAGAAAAAGTGGTAACAGACAAAAAAAAAAAACACATCTTAGTAAAACCAATACCTTCTCAGCTTCGCATCGAAGCTAAAAGAAACAAATTAAAGATAAGATTTATCAAAAAAATTTTCATAGAGTATACTCTATTGAATTTTGTAATCAACTAGATTCTAATCAATGCAGATACTTCGTAGTTTGTTATCATTTGTTGGACCAGAGTTAAAAAAATTTACCTACAACCACGTTTGGAGTAATTGCTATTCCAACGTCTAGAACGTTATCTTTTTCAAATAACGTTTTCTATGAATATAAAAATGAAAATACAGCCATAATAATAACTGTATTACTCAAAAGTAATCACAAATTAATAATAATTTCAATGTATATAAGGCCTAGCACGTTTTTGATAATTCGTAAAAATAATTGAATTTTAAATTTGGGGGCCACATTAAATCTAAGGGGGGCCAGGCCCACCGAGGCCCACCCTTGTCTACGTGCCTGTTTGTGTCTGTTACCACTTTTTCTCAGCTCTCACTGAACCGATTTCTTTCAACGACACGTCAAAAGATCACAAATCGTATCTACTCGAAGACATTACCCTCAAAAATTGAAAAAATTTCCCTTGTTTTCCATAAATGGGGGAAATCTCCAAAAAAATTACAAATTTAAAAATCACTAATTTTGAAATTTTTTCAATTTTTTTCACTTAAAACTGCCATAACTTTTTCAAAATTGAACAAATCAATATAATTTTTTTAAATAGATGAATAATGTCCTTACCTATCATTTGATGTATTTTTTTAATAAATTTAACCCTTTACCTGCCCACAGAGACAGGTAAAATGACAAATTTTTACAAAAAATTAACTTTCTCAACTTAACTTTTTATAGTGTTCCGGAAATACTGACACTTTTATATATATCTTAAATTAAAGCTAATGTAATATATTTTATTATGGAAAAAAATAATTTCGGACTTTATTTTTTCTTCACAGTGAAAATGGCTACCGTATTCTATTTTTGTGTTAAAATTATCGCTTTTATATTTTACATATTTAACTTTATATTTATATCACTTTTTGAGAAATGTATGCATCATTATAATTTTTTAAGATAAGTACTATTTATATTCTTTTTTAATGCGACATACTTTTTTTTTAAATCGGACCATTGCATTATATTCGGAAGGGGGGGGGTTAAAATATAAACAATGTATATAGAAAGTAGAACTTGTTCAACTTAATTTTTAAAAGTGTTCCGGAAATACTGACATTTAGATATATATATATATATAGATATTAAATTAAAACTTATGTAATATACTTTAATATGAAAAAAAAATTCAGACTTTAGTTTGTTTTCAAAGTGAAAACTAACATCAAAGTTAATAAACAAATTTTGTAAAAAAATTCTATTTTATATTTTTTATTTTATGATGCTATAACTTTTTGAAANTTCTATTTTATATTTTTTATTTTATGATGCTATAACTTTTTGAAAATAGATCTCTTTATTCGACATACTTTTTTTTTAAAATAAAACCATTTATATTACACTTATAAATCATAAAACTTGTAATCAGGATATAGATAAGGAAATAGGAGATCGTGTAACTTTTGGAATAATCCACCAATTTTTTAAAATTAAATACAATCTACAAAGTTGCATCGAAGCGTTTTTTATGATAATGATTTTAATCACTGTCAGATATCATTATACTTGACCCAACTATGCTACGTCATTACTGTGCTGGGTTTTTTTATTATTTATCATTAATACGGAAAAAATTAAAAATTTGTTATTTTTTCAAAATTTTAAAATGGCCATTTTTAGAACTTTTTAGAAAATATTTTAATGTGTTGATAACTATATTAGGGTAAGTACTCTTGACTTAAAAGTATTTTAAATATAGAGAAAGTAAGTAGGGTGGGAGGGTACAGTTCGTTCTGGTGTTTATTAATTTCATTCTTGAATCCCCTATAAAATTATACTTTTTTAGATACTTGTTGCTATTGAGGTAATGATATTAATTATTTTATATAATTTAATTGTATTTTAATTCTTATTATTCTTAATATTTAATAACTTCTATAGATTAGTCTATCATCAGAATATAATGTATACAATTATAATTATTATTTAAAATAAGACATACAAATCATATTTACATCAAAGTTAATTATCTATTTTTTAACTTTTACATTTTTATTAATTTAGGGTTATTGAAAATGCTTTCATTAAATTAAAAAATATATTCAAATATGTTTCTTAAATAAAAATAATATTTGAATTGAAAAAATAAAAATATGGTTAATTAAATATAATATTTTATTAAAATAAGGTTGGATACATAATGGGAACAAAAGTCATAAACATCATAACGACAACAGAGATGATAATTATCACAACGGAGATAGTGAATATAATAATGAAAATAGAGAACAAGAAAATAATTGGAATAATAAAAACAGAAATATGAATGATGGCTATGGATCAAATAAATAGTGAATCATTATTTTCATCTTCAGGACCTAGTACTTCACCAAGACCAGGTGGACATCATCACGGGCATGGTGTTCACATGCACTATAACGGTAATAGAGAAAGTGAAAATTATTTCGGAAATGGTGGTCACATGAATTACAATGGGCACAGAGAAGATGATTATTATCACGGGAATAGAAGTCATATACATCATCACGGAAATAGTGATCATGTGCACCATAATGTAAACGGAGAAAATAATAACCATCATGGAAATGGTGGTCACATACAAAATCATGGTCATAGTAGTGACACATACCATAACGGGAACAGAGAAGATAATAATTACTATGGAAACGGCGATCGTGGGAATAATTATGGAAATAGGGAACATGAAAATAATTGGAATAATGAAAATATAAATACAAATAATGGCTATGGATCTAATAGTGAATCATTTATTACATCCCCAAGACCTAGTATATCATCGGGACATTATCACGGGCATGGTGGTAACATACATTATAATGGAAATAGAGAAGAAAAAAATCACGGAAATGGCGATTATGGAAATAATTGGAATGGTGAAAATACAAATATGAACAATGGATTTGGATCAAATAGCGAATCATTCCATATGTCCTTAAGACCTACTTCTTCGCTAAGACCTTTTACTTCATTAAGACCTAATTGGAATCAAAACGAAAACAATTTTTATGGAGATCATCCGGGAAATCGTGAAAATAAGAATAATTATACTGATAGAAATAACAGTAATGGAAGTAATTGGAATAATGAGAATATAAATGCAAATAATGGATTTGAAAAGAATGATGGAAGGCTTTATTCATCTCCAAAGCCAACTAGTTTTTCAAAACCAGAAAGTATTAATCATGAATCTTATTTATCTTCTAAACTACCCACAGAAAGTTCATGTGGTCTCATTAATGCAACTCTCAATGATAGGATTGTTGATGGTAGTCCTGCCGAACTTGGTAAGTTCAATTTTATCAATAGGATAGACTAGTAATCTTACAGTTGATTTTATTATAGGTGATTGGCCATGGATTGCAGCATTAGGGTATGTAAGTACTAATAATCCCGAAAAAATTCCACAATGGTTATGTGGTGGTACATTAATATCTGATAAGTATGTTGTTACGGCTGCTCATTGCACTGTAGGAATAGGTAAGAGAAAAATGTAAGTAATAGATAAGTAATTGGAAAACACGTTCAAGTACCTTATACTAGTATAACTGCTATATTAAATATTTTTTTTTTAGATCTGTTGCTCGATTAGGAGATTTGGATTTGAATCCTGACGTTAATGATAGAGCTAATCCAATTGATGCCCCTGTCGATAAAGTTATCACTCACAAAAAATATAATAGCCAAGATTACACTAACGATATAGCTTTAATAAAGTTGCAACGATCAATTTCCTTCAATAGTTAGTATTATTTATTAAACTGTTGACTTTTTAGAAAAATAAAACTCTCAAAAGTAATTTTTTAAACATTTTTTTGAGAGTTCATTCAACCAATTTGCTTACCTATAACATCAGAAATAAGATCAAAAAATTTAGTCAAAAAAGTAGCAACTATTGCTGGATGGGGGGCTACTTCATATCGTAAGTCAATAACCTGTTTTTATTTTCTAAAGCTGTATTATTATTTTTTGTTTTTTTTAAGGTGGTCCTTCAAGTACTGCATTATTGAAAGCTCCAGTACCTATAGTAGATATCGATGATTGTAAACGATCCTACGCCAATAAAAAAACAGTTATTGATGAAAGAACATTATGTGCTGGTTATAAAACTGGTAAAATTGATGCATGCCAGGTAAAATATATACCTACTTCATATTTAATTAATTTATTGATTAATATTACATAATTTTAATTTAATTTCTTATTTGAAGAGGTCAGTAAATAGAGGTTTTAACTGTTATTTTTGAAATTGTTCAGAAATGTTACTTTTTAACTTCTTCTTTTTCATTGCCTTAATCCAAACAACTTGGAGTCAACCAGAAATACAACTTTTTAACTAATTATTAAAAAATTATGAAACTGTTTGCTGGTTCCCTCAGCCATAATGAAGTTGCGCCATGTCAACAATTGATGTGAAATTCCATCCAATCGTTAAAACTGGGCTGTTCCCAAATATTTGAGATAGAGGCTATGTTGTTGATGATTATTAAAAAGCTATGGGACTTTTTTATATTCAATGTATAAAATAACTTACAAGATGGAAAATATCGTTCTATGGGTGCTCTATAATTTACTATAACTTAAATATGATACTTCCACCAAGTTACTAATAATTTTTATTTTAACACTTTTCCAATACCCCCTTCATTTATAGTTAAAAATTTAATTAATAATATATTATCATAGGGTAATTAGTCTAGCTACTGAACATTTCCAATAAATAAACACTATCGATATTATTTAAAATTTTAACTCTCTAACTTCAAATTTTATTAGTTTGTGATGCATGAATTTAAAGACGTATTTTAAAACACTTATATTGAAATTTAAATATAGTATGAGAGATGAAAGTTCTATGTAATAACAGGGCCTTCTCGGTTTTTTTAACTCAAATTCAAATTAGTAAATTTGTTTTTTATTTGATGTATAATCTAATTGTTTTAACATTTAAGACTAGATAAAAATGTTAATTTTATATCCAGATATTAGAAGTTAATTTGAAATAATAAATCTGTCATGTAATTTTAAAATTAAATTCATTTTTAATTGTTTGATAATTAGACGAGTTACTCTAAGTCTTATATACCATTTGATAAACACAAATAATATTAAAAATAAAATAAATTAGTTAAGTCGATTGTGTAAAAATATTTAGGGAGATTCTGGAGGACCTTTGATGTGGTCACATAATTTAAAATATTATTTAATTGGAGTGGTATCTTTTGGATTCAAATGTGCAGACCCTGATTTTCCTGGAGTATACTCAAGAGTAACATACTTTGTCGATTGGATCGTTAAAACTATGGACAAAAACTAAGTCTATCAAATTTGACTATTTGATGATACAGTAATTATTCAATTAACCTTATTATAATAATTATGTATTTATTCTTAATTACATTTAATAACAATAAAATAAATTTATTCAGGTTTAATTTAAAAATACAGATTAAATTACCATTTTAACACGGTAAGTATTTATCTTAAAGTTGTTATCGAATCATCAAGATTTTTGTAAAAAAATCTATTTTAAAATTTTAAAAATATTTAAAAAAAAATTATTTTTTATCCGAGAAACGTTACAAATTAATAAAAAAAAAGTTTCATCAAATTGGTTTACTTTGGGTAGTAGTTAAACTCAAATCAATTTAATATCTTTTATCATTTTTGTCGTATAGTCGTTTACAGAACTAGTAAAATGTATACGTAAACATTTTACAGAAATAATTATGTAATTACATACTTTTTTGAGATACATAAGATACTTAAAATTAAAATTATGTTAAAAATATTAAAAAATATTTTTTAGTTTTAAATTAATATTTTTAATATAATTTTAATTTGAAATAATATTATCCTTAAATGGTCAATTTTTATTACACAAATTTTTTGTTCATAAAAATTAAGAGATGAAATCTATGGTGATCACACTAGTTTTTGATAAAACTCTAATGTTAAGCCGCGCCTACCACCGTAGGTGAAAGGATGGGTGACCATGCGTGCACTTTTACGATGGCGAAAAAGCACCATGTTCATTCACAAATGTTGTCCAAGTTAGCCCATTTGACAGTAATCTAAAATATTCATTAGATCAAAGAATACTAGATTTGTCAAAACATCATAAACCATCCTATATTTTAAAAAAATCAGCTTTTTACATTTTTTAGATTCAACTAAAATATACTTGTGTAAAACAAGTACATTATACGAATGTATATAATCTAAAATTAGTTTTACTCATCTTGCCGTATTGATTAAATTGATCAGTATATTTATTATCTACATTCAAAAAAATCCCTATGCGTCATCATTGAGAATTATATCACTTACTTATTTATCAACTATAATTAATTCCATAAAAATGGTTTGTATTGTTAAATTAATTTTTTTTAATTCAAGAATGTATGTATAAAGTTTGAGGAATATTTACCATATAGTGCTAAAAAATTGTAATTATTAATAAATTATAAAAAAATTATTAAATTTATGTGTGTATTTACATACTTTAAGATACTAATAGTAGCAAAAATTTATTGTCTTACTATGAGGTGTTTTTTCTTACAAATTATTTGTTGAGAAAATGTTGAACAATGAAATTATTTTTTAAAATGTGTTTTTCCTTGTGTGTAAAATTTTTAAATACATCTCTGTCTACTTTAATGTAAATTCACACACTTTGATAAGTAAATTTATTTATAAATTACTCATATTTCAATCTCAAAATTATACTTTTATATTAGCACAATTACTACTTTATTAAATCATTAAATCTTGAAATTTGAAATTACTTTTTACAAACATTTTATATCCATACAAAGCCTATCATATGAAATGTTAATAACAGAAAATATTGGGCTCTTCACAGTGTACGTGCACTAAAATTAATGAATCCAGCATTTTTTTTGCAAATGTCTGCTTAAAAACCGTAGTGTAAAAAATTTACTAAACCAACATAAAATGAGATTTTTAAAGATAATTACCATGCATGTCGACAGTCAATTCATATAAAAACAAGTTTCCAGGTAATTGTTGTTTTTCTTTTATTATTAAACAACAAATTAATTTATTAAATATATCTATTCCATTTTTTTAAAAATCTGATGTGTAACAAAATAAGTTGTTGGATTATTGTCTAATAGCCTAATCTATTATCTATTTTCTAAATAATTTTATATCAACTTTATAGAAGTAATTTGTTAAAATTTAAAAAATATAAATTTGTGTTTATCATTATCAAAATTAAAACTTCTTTATGTCTCCTCTGCATGTCATTAACAAGTTCTTGAATATTAACCTCAAAAATTATTATTTTTGAAATTTATTAGTAATTATTTGTATTATGAGTATTAGAATTATACTTTTTTACAAAGGCATTTTTATCTAGAAACATTAAGTAAGTATATGACATGCGGATGTTAAAGCAATTAAAACGTATTTGCAATATACGTATCAACATGAATTATTTATAATAATAGATTAATAATCTCATTTTTATGTTTTCTGTATTCATTTTAACTGAGAAGCCTAGACCTTGAATACATATAACAAATATACCGGATGATAACTTGAGTTAATTACGACAATCGTTTATAATGTCTGAACATTTCATTTACAAAAAAAAAAACTTATTATACTTATGTTATTGATTACATTATAGTATTAAAAAATAATTTTTCAATATTTTTCTGAAAAATAGTTATCATTAATCTTAACTATGAGAAGTTTTTGATCGAAAGATACGTTGACTTAACTTTTTGGAAGTAGAACTTTAACAATATTTTTTACTTAAATCTCTAATCAAAATTAAAATATATGGATAAATATTAGCAATATCAACAAATTATTTTAATTTAAATGAATAATTGGTAAAAATGAAAGTACAATGATTATTTTAAAAAAAAAATGATTCATTGATTTTTAGTAGTTTAAAATTGTTAAAACAAAATTTTTATATTTTGTAAATAATAAAATGTAAATCCATACTTTTAAAGAACAAAAACAAACTAAATTTATAATCTATGATTAATATACTTTTAAACTTGTAAATTTTAATTTTCAAATCATAACAATTTAATCGAATAAACATTGGCTTTTAGAAAAAATAGCCAACAAAATTGGCTAACAAAAAGAAAATGCTATGTTAGCACTATTACAATGATTATATTATATACAGAGTAATTTGCTAACTATGTCTTAAGCATAATAAAACACAGAATGAAGTATAATTCTTTATTATCAGAAGTTATAATAATTAATTATTCTAATATTAATTACAAAGAATAATTTAGTATAATTTCTTTTTTCCTATTAAAATTGGGTCAACTTTAAATTTTCAAATGGAAACATGTATGTTTAACTGATTTAATAACAAGAAAATTAATGTCGGATAAACATTTTTGAACCATTATTTTAATAGATATAAGTATTTTTACGTCGTAATGGAAGAAGATCGGCTTATAAATGCTTAAAGATAAAAATATCGATACCAGCTTTTTATCTCTATCTTTTATTCATAAGTGTTTATAACTTTTAAAATACTGGTTCAAAAGTTGTTATCGACTAGTCATTGCCTTAGTCAGATAAATTCCTTATTTGTTGCTAATTAAACATGTATGTTTCCTTCAAAAGATCTAATGTTGATACAATTTAAAAAAATAGATTATACTTGTGCAATATAAATGTATTTAATCTAATAATAAAAAAAAAATTAAGAAATTAAAAAACTAAAGTAAAATAATTTAGTAATTGATTTTCAAAGAAATAAATTGCGTTCGACATAAATAAAAGCACTCCGAAATAATCCTAACTGATGTTTCTAGATCGCACAAAGTATTTCTTTACTTGTATGGTGATCAAAAATATTTATATGATTTAATCTGAGATTGATATACGTATGTCTATGCTGCTATATTCCGAAACGCATGTACCATCTCTCCTCTTGATCATTCCGGATTATACACACTATGACCGTCATCAGCTTATTAGCAGTCAGCTATTAGTGTGCAGGCCATTTACACTCTTAAATTAATATAAAATACAAAGTTCTAATTTAATTAATATAAAATATTATAAAGAAGTACTTTTAACATTTTTCTCGGATATTATTGAATGGTTGTTCAGAATGATATCCCTTCAATACTTAGTATTTATAGCATTGGTGCTTAAAATAGTAATAGGACAATCAAATGAAGGTTAGTAAATTTAAAATTGTCCAATCATATGAAATTCAAATGATAAAAATATTTCTTGTTAAAATGTATATCAATGATTGTTGATTTTTATAATTTTTTATTTAGAACTCGTTAAATACTAATCCAATAATTGTTTTTAATTCAATGATTTTTTCAATTAATATACTTATTATTGAACAATTTGCCTTAAAAATCTATTTTTTTTATTGACATTTTCATTAATTATTAAGTATTTATTTTTAAAAATCCCTTTTTTTTATTAGACTTCGAAAATTGAAAATGCGTAAAATGATAATTTTTATATACCGCACAAGATAAATGACAAATATTTAAACAAACCAGTTTACCTAATAACTTTCTTTTTGACTTTGATAATACTATCTATTGAATAGTTGGGCAAAACAAACAAACTGTATAACTTAATTGAAGATTACTTACGAAACATAGATATAATTGCAATTATTTAACTCAATACTTGTTGGTTATTATTTAGTTTATATTAAGAATGAAACTTTTTGTATACGTGTTATAGTACCAATGAACTAAATTTGTTAAGAAAATAAGTTACTATATACGTCGTGATTATTATCAGTAAAATATTCATATCATATGATTTTATAATAACTTCAATTAAATGAAAGATTTTAAATAAAATAACATTAAGAACATTTTTTATTGATGTAGATTTAAATTTTACAATACTTATATATAAACTATAAATAATTTAAAGAAATGATACGTTATTGGTAATAAAAGATTAATGAACGAGTAATAATTAAAATTGCAATAAATTTAATACACAGTAAACCGTAGTGTAATAATATACACTAGGGTTTCGTTAAATATTTATAGGGGAACTATTGACACAATAAAATTTTGATTTAAGGTTGCATAAACCCCAAAAATGAAAACGGATATTGCATTAATATAAAAAGATGTACGTTGCTAACAACTATGTTACAAAACGACAGAAGAAATGCTACTGTTATCAAGTTCGTTCGAGATTCTGCATGTGGTTATGAAGGACGGGATCCAAAAGTCTGTTGTCCGATAAGAACCGAAGTATCTAACAACAATAATAACGGGAATAATTGGAGCAGTGGTAACACAAATAATGGTAATAATTTGAACAACGGAAATGTAAACGTAAATAGTGGTTTAGGAAACGGTGGAACACCCACAAGACCAGAAAGTTTTTCAAATTATGAAACTGTATCATCCTCAAAATTGCCATCGAGAAGTTCATGCGGCCGTATTAATGCTACACTTGGCAATAAGATTGTGGGAGGTCAACCAGCAGCATTAGGTAAATAATACGAGTTATATTTCATAGAGAATATTTGACAATAATTTTTAATTTTGATTATAAGGAGATTGGCCGTGGATTGCTGCCATAGGATATACAAGCATCAATGCACCAAATAACCCTCCACAATGGTTGTGTGGCGGTACTTTGATTTCTGACAGATACGTTGTAACAGCTGCTCATTGCACAGTAGGAATAGGTCAGAGAAAAATGTAAGCTATTTTTTTTCATTAGTTTTAAATGAAAATAATTCATTTATTCTTGTCTCTGCAGTTCCGTTGCACGGTTAGGCGATTTGGACTTAGACTCAGACGTTAATGACGGGGCCAGTCCAGTTGACGTTCCTGTCGAAAGAGTCATAACACATGAAAATTATAATAGCCAAGATTATACCAATGATATTGCAGTTCTCAAATTGAAACGCTCAGTTTCGTTCAATTGTAAGAATTATTGTTAGAATTTACAACTTGTAGTTGTAATACTGTTCTTTTTTAGATCTGATTCAACCTATCTGTTTACCAATTATGTCTGATATAAGAGCTAACCAATTTGTTAAATACATACCAAAGGTAGCTGGATGGGGTACTACATCATACAGTAAGTAAAAAAAACGTGTAAACGTGGTACGGTGCTTAAATTTTTATAAAATTATTAAAATTTTGTGTTAATACTTAGGAGGACCTACCAGTACTGTATTGATGGAAGCTCCAGTGCCTGTAGTGGAAAATGCTGAATGCAAACGCGCCTATGCTAATAAAAAAACAGTTATTGACGAAAGAACTTTATGCGCTGGGTACAAAGCTGGAGGAATAGATGCTTGTCAGGTTTGTTTGATTTAAAAATTATTACCGTAGATATTTTATACAAGTATAATAACCTTATTCTAATAGTATTAGTAATGCAATAATAGAAAATCTTATGCTAAAAGCAGAGACTAATTGCAGCCCTATCAGTCAACCTGTGTATGGCATTGATATCAAATCACTGTTACTATATTTTTAGGGTTTTGAGGAACAACACTCTCTTATAAAAACAGCTTAAATTTTCTGTTGCTTTATTCACTGAAATTGAAAATATTTTTTTGCTTTTCAAAATTCATCAACATTTTATTTGATGATCAATAAGTTAGCAATTTTGTACATTCTTTTAATAAATTGAATTTTCAGTTAACACAAGATAGCTGAAAAAATATATGGTTCAAAATGTCTCGATTAATACTATCATTGTTATTACTCTATTTATATTTAATGTCTTCTCTAAAGCTATGCTAAAATTATATAGAACAGGAAACCTACATAGATCAACCAACAAAAGTAAATCCCGGTACTAATGCAACTTGGCACGATCCGTTTTCAATTAAGATAGCGTATGTTTCAAGTTTTGAAACCATCTGTATAATGGAAAACGGTCAACATTTTTAAAATAGTATGTCGGATGAAAAAGATATGTACTAAGTACTTATAAAAAAAAAATTATCGGTCCATTAATTTTTTGAAAATTTATAGCAATATAAATTAAAAAATATAAAATCGAGAATTTTAACACAAAAATAGCATATTTTTTTTTTTAATACGGCAACTACTTGCACATAGAAGATAAGTCATCGGGATAAAATTTTTTTTTTAATTTTATAGTGTATAACATAAGCTTTAATTTGGTATATGTTTAAGGGATTCAGTATTTCCGGTATATTTTTAAAAGTTATGTTGAAAAAGCTAGTTTTTGAAAAAAATTTGCTATTATATATCCCTCCCTATATTATATCCTATTGCTATTATATATCCCTATTATATATCCCTATGGGCAGGTTAAGTGTTAGATCTTCAAAAAAATGATATCAAATGAAAGGGAAATATCTAAGGTATCAGTATAAAAGAAATTTGTTAATGTTAATTTTTGAAAATGTTATGAAAATTTTAAGAAAAAAAAGTAAAAAAAAACCGTTAAAAATTAATGATTTTAAAATTGTATTTTTTTGGAGATTTCCCCCATTTACAGGGAGCGTGGGAAATATTTTCAGTTTTGAAGGGTAATGTCTTCAACTATATACAATTTGTGATTTTTTGCCATATTTTTCATCAAAATCGGTCCAGTGAGAGTTGAGAAAAAGTGGCAACAGACACAAAAAAAAAAAGAATACACATCATGGTAAAATTAATCAGTTTCACATCGAAGCTTAAATTTTTTTCCAATTTTTTTTCTTCAAATTTTCAATTTCTTCAACTAGATACAATTTTTATCTTGATATTTCGTTTAAAAAAATTGATTCAGTAAATTTCAAAAATAGTGATGACAGACACACAAAAAAATTAGATCCTGATGATAAAATTAGTACCTTCTCAACTTTGCATCAAAGCTAAACAAAGTCGTAAATAATACTGGAGAAATATTTTTAAAAACTTCATTAAAACAATACTAACTATTATTTGTTAGCCACTTGGCTAAATAAAGATTAGCCATTATATACAATGTTCCGACATGTGTTTAGTTATCTATATGGCACTGAAAACTTTGACATTGTGTAAATTGACCACCATTTTGCCGCCACTATAACACTTTACGGTAACATATTATAAAGTGTATCAGATCTAACTTACAACGGTTATAACTTTTGATTTAATTATTAATTTTTTTAAATTATTGCCTCTTTTGACTACTTTTAAAGTATATTTTTTTATTATTTATCATTAATACTAAAAAAAAAAATTATGTTTTTCGTTAAATAATAACTATTTTTAAAAAATCTATAGATATATATTTGATTTATTTTAATGAACCACCGTAGATATCAAATTTATTATAAAAAAAAATTATTTTTTAAGGTTATATTTTCATAGAAAATTTTATAAGTTAAATGAAAACTATTTTTATTTTATTATTATTAAATGAAGAATGGACTAAATAAGATTTTAACTGGTTGATAACTAGTGTTGTAATATTAATTTTTGATTTAATATAATATTTAGTTATAGATCAGAGGGTTACACAACGTTGAAGAATTCTTATCTGTGATTCATCATCATAAATATAGATTATCGCTAAACACTATCAGCTCCTCAACTTTTTTAAACCTGTACGTGCTAATATCTCAAAAGTAATAAGTATTTCTTTGTACATCAAGTACAAAGAAATACTTATTACGCCTTAAATATAGTTACTTATTTGATTTTTTTCATTTGAAAATACAGTTGTATTACTAAATTGTACTATAATCAATATATTTAAAAATTTTCCTAAATTTGTTTATATATTTCACGAAATTTTCCCTTGACATTATACCTATGTAAGACTTAAACAAAAATATTATGAAATTTGAGTAGACTTATAGATGTTATATACATTGTTATTTTTTAATCTGTACTATAAATAAATATTTAGTTTTTTTAACATTTTTTTAATAAATAATTTAAATTTTTATGTATTTTTTTATTAAAGGGAGATTCTGGTGGCCCTTTAGTTACACCAATTTCAGCTCAAAATTACTTGATTGGAGTTGTGTCTTTTGGATTCAAATGTGCAGATCCCGACTTTCCAGGAGTGTATTCAAGAGTATCATATTTTGTCGATTGGATAGTTGAAAAGATAAATAATAGTTAGCTTCATGGTGATTTAGTAAAATTAGTATATGAAGTTACTCAAAAAATAATAAATCTGTAAAATAATTTTAATACAGTCTTATAACACGGGGCCTTATATATGTATATATATTTTTAATTTTTTCATATTTGCATCGATATATTCATTTAAAATTCAATGTAGCAATAAAGAAAAATTATTTTTCTTTTTTTGTCTATTTAGAAATCAATAACTAGATTTTGAAATAAAAATGATATTTATTTTTAATTTTTAAAGTAAAAATATTTGTCTAAAAAATGTTATTTTAACACCATTATAATTTTTAAATGTTGAGCCATAATATTAATAATAAGTTTTAAGGTAACTAATTGATGGAAGTTAAGAAGTCATTTGTAAAATTTTTATGTGGTATAATTAAATAAATATTCGATCAAAATTAATTTTGTGTTAAATTATTAAAAAAAAATTGAATTCATATTTGCACGGTTTTAGTAAAATGATAATATGTCTTTAAGTACCTATAAATTTGTTTTTTTTTTTAATTAAAATTAAATAATTTTCATTTAGATATTATTATTATAGACTTTTTTTATTTTAATTCGTACTATTTTAATAGCAAGATTGTTTTTATATTAAAAAGCATTTTGTGTTTTGTATAAGTCAATGTGTCAAGGCTTGGTAATGTATTTTTTAGGCTAAAAAATAATCAGAATTTCATATATTTTTTAAATTGTGTTTACGGTCAATAAAGGGAAATAAAAATTTCCTTCAAAAAAGAGGTTTCTTGATCCTGTATACTATGGAAGAATAATAACGTTGATGGAAATTATGTATCTCTAATTACTTGGATGATTTGTTTTTCAGCGAATGAAGCTACCCAAGATCAGTCATAAATTAATGACATTCAGAGTCAATTCTAGAAATCGCGTAGCCTTATGCTTAACAATTTTGCGAGGCTTTTAATGATTTTTTTTTATTATCATCTTAGTTTGCGAGTCTTAATGTAAGTATACACTTTGCATAACCTTAGCGCTGGTCCTAATGATAAAACTCGTGAAATACTATTATGATGTGGGCGAGTTAATACTCGGCCACATAGCTCTCCTTGATGTGTATAATATCTTGCAAAATAAATTATATATGAAAAGTTGTTTATTAAGCAAATGCAAGTTTAATAACTTGATACGAATTTATGGTGCATATTGTACCAAATATAATTTGCTATTTGCTAGCGCATTTTTATGAGTCTATTTCGGTGTTTATTAACAATTAAAGTTCATATTTCGGTTTTAATTAATTGTTATGATTTATTTTACTTGATTTGCATAAAATCAATTATAAAACCCAGCACGGGGGGTCGCGGCACAGTGGTGACGTGGTATAGNATTTTAATACAGTCTTATAACACGGGGCCTTATATATGTATATATATTTTTAATTTTTTCATATTTGCATCGATATATTCATTTAAAATTCAATGTAGCAATAAAGAAAAATTATTTTTCTTTTTTTGTCTATTTAGAAATCAATAACTAGATTTTGAAATAAAAATGATATTTATTTTTAATTTTTAAAGTAAAAATATTTGTCTAAAAAATGTTATTTTAACACCATTATAATTTTTAAATGTTGAGCCATAATATTAATAATAAGTTTTAAGGTAACTAATTGATGGAAGTTAAGAAGTCATTTGTAAAATTTTTATGTGGTATAATTAAATAAATATTCGATCAAAATTAATTTTGTGTTAAATTATTAAAAAAAAATTGAATTCATATTTGCACGGTTTTAGTAAAATGATAATATGTCTTTAAGTACCTATAAATTTGTTTTTTTTTTTAATTAAAATTAAATAATTTTCATTTAGATATTATTATTATAGACTTTTTTTATTTTAATTCGTACTATTTTAATAGCAAGATTGTTTTTATATTAAAAAGCATTTTGTGTTTTGTATAAGTCAATGTGTCAAGGCTTGGTAATGTATTTTTTAGGCTAAAAAATAATCAGAATTTCATATATTTTTTAAATTGTGTTTACGGTCAATAAAGGGAAATAAAAATTTCCTTCAAAAAAGAGGTTTCTTGATCCTGTATACTATGGAAGAATAATAACGTTGATGGAAATTATGTATCTCTAATTACTTGGATGATTTGTTTTTCAGCGAATGAAGCTACCCAAGATCAGTCATAAATTAATGACATTCAGAGTCAATTCTAGAAATCGCGTAGCCTTATGCTTAACAATTTTGCGAGGCTTTTAATGATTTTTTTTTATTATCATCTTAGTTTGCGAGTCTTAATGTAAGTATACACTTTGCATAACCTTAGCGCTGGTCCTAATGATAAAACTCGTGAAATACTATTATGATGTGGGCGAGTTAATACTCGGCCACATAGCTCTCCTTGATGTGTATAATATCTTGCAAAATAAATTATATATGAAAAGTTGTTTATTAAGCAAATGCAAGTTTAATAACTTGATACGAATTTATGGTGCATATTGTACCAAATATAATTTGCTATTTGCTAGCGCATTTTTATGAGTCTATTTCGGTGTTTATTAACAATTAAAGTTCATATTTCGGTTTTAATTAATTGTTATGATTTATTTTACTTGATTTGCATAAAATCAATTATAAAATTTATGAAAATCTAATTAAGTGAATTATCTTACATATATATTTTAGTATTTATTTGTTTACTTGGGATTTTGTAGTACGTTGTAATAAAAACCTGTTGAACACATTTAAATGTGTTCAGCATTAAAATGTGTTTATTTAAAACAATTTAATTTGTGAGAAGAGATGGTAATTACCATATCTTCTCACAATTAAATTATTTAAGACCATTGCAAACTTTTTATAAGTAGTTGCTTATAAGCATTAGAGCTAAACATACTTAATTAAAAAGTTTTAAAGAGCTACTTATTTTAATTTTAAAACTATACAGTATATTTTTAATCGAAGTATTTTAAGACTAAACATTATAAATAAATTTTACAATGGCATTTGTACGATATTTGTTGTGTATATTATTGGTGTACAATGTAGTGATTGCTCAACTTGATAATAATGGTCAGTATTTAATAATATATAAGTTTGACTGTTTTAATGGATTTGTAATTTTTAAATAGGATATAAATATAAAATATTTAATTTTATAAGTTGTGGTTTTAAAAAATCTTAATTACTCAAAATTAAATTAATTGACCATTTTTTAGCTATTCTCTTTAAAATACTATAAGACTATATTAATAAATTAAATGTTAGGATTGTTAATAGCAATTTAGTTATAGGATAAATTGTTTATGTAGGATCATGTTTGCAGAAAAAAGAAGTTTATGATATCAGTAAACTATTAAGTTTACTCTAAGGATTGAAAGTACTGTTAATATAATAAATTGAACTTGAAAATTTATTTAGGTAATATCACACAATAATAACAATTTTTTAAGTATTTGATGCGTTAAAGTTTAAAAATGTGACAGTAATATATTTCAAGAGTTTTTATTAATTATGTTAACTATTTGGATAATTTATTTCTTTTACTCAAAAAAATTTGTGAGTTTATAAATGAAGGAAAATTCTAAAAATTCAATTTGTGATATTTTTTATATTAATGTCGCTCCAGCAAAAGCTAATATTTTATAAATCATACATAAAAAAAAAAAAAAATGATTCCCTAAAATGTTTGATATTATATAACAAAGTTGATATTTATTTAATCTAATTAGTAATATAATAAAATAACTCAATCATTAATTATCAAAAAGGTAAAAAACTCAACGAAACAATCAATCAACGTTCTACAATCCAAACGATTTCCTTTAACAAAACTTTGTCCTATTCTAAGTTACCATCATCAAGTTCTTGTGGTCGTATAAATGCATCCCCAAGTTTTAGAATCATTGGCGGCCAACCTGCTGAATTAGGTAATTAATTTTAAACAAAATATTAGGAAAAATAAATTTAAAAATTTTGTATCTACTTATAGGAAATTGGCCGTGGATTGTTGCCTTAGGATATACAAATAATAATACACCAAATAATCCTCCAGGATGGTTTTGCAGTGGTACATTGATATCTGATAGATATGTTGTAACAGCTGCTCAATGCGTGGTAGGAGGAATAGGTCAAAAAAAACTGTAAGTACTATATAATTTTTTTTTTAAATATTTAACTTAATACGTGTTTTATGTTTAAATATTGGTAGTTCTGTCGTTCGCTTAGGAGAATTGGACTTAAACTCTGACATTAGTGATGGAGCTAGTCCAATCGACGTTCCCGTTGAAAAAGTTTTGATACACGAAGAATACAATAGTCGAACACATGCCAATGATATAGCAGTCCTTAAGTTAAAAAATTCAATTTCATTTAACAGTAAGATTTTGTAAATAGTAATGTTATATGAACGATGGCATATTAGGCATTCTAAATTGCCTTGGTTATAAAATTTCTATTTATCTAATTATTAATAAAAAATACTTAAATAAATATAGGTTTGATTCAACCAATCTGTTTACCAATTAGTTCTGATTTAAGAACTAAAAAATTTGTTAAATCCATACTAAAGATAGCTGGGTGGGGTACTACGTCTTACCGTAAGTAAATAAACATGTAATAACACTGTTTTTAACGTTCTGTAATAAGCTGGAATCAATTTTTAGGTGGTTCTCAGAATACAAGGTTGATGGAAGCTCCCGTTTCTGTTTTCGATAACGTTGAATGTCAAGACGTTTATGCCAATAAAAGTATTGTCATTGACGAAAGAAATGTATGCGCTGGTGACAAAAATGGTCAAACGGATTCTTGTCGGGTATATTTTGGAAAATATTGTTTCTTTGAATAGGAAAAATAGAAAAGAAATCGATAATTTACAATTTATTTAGCGAATATGTGTACAATATATACATATGTATTACAATTTTTATAACGTCAATATTTTGAAAATTGCTTATAGTTTAGGTTTTATTTTTAAGATATTTTTTTGAAGTCTAATAATTCAATAAACAAGGCAAAGGATTGGTTATTCGAAAATAATTACCATATCTTGTATGTTAGTTGACCTATATCGAATTTTTTGTCAAGAAACCTAGAAACGGAAAGTATTATAAAATCGATTTTAAAGCCATAGCTAAATTTAAACTTTTTAAAGTCCAATTTTAAGTTCAATTAAGAATTCAAAGGCCGTCTCGTAATATTTTTGGTTTCTGTAATCTTTTTTCAATATGTAATAAAACAAAATTCGATGTAGATGAACTAATTTTCTAGATAAAAGAAAAATTGCTAAAAACCGAAATTATTTCGGTTCCTAGCCTTGTAAATAAATCAACACATGCTAAAACCTTAAACACTCAATGAGTCTAACAATATTTATATATGTATATTTGAAATGGTTTTAAAAATAATCTTAAAGTACCATTTCGATTTTAAACTCTTGGACTTTTACTGGAATTTTTAATGACTTTTACGACAACGCAGTTTTATTTAAGTTCATTGTTGTTTTTTGTTAAAACTTATGTTAAAATTAGTGGTCTTAAGTTAGAGTTAAATACAAAAAATTCACTATTATATATCTTGATAACTGTTTAGATACATTTATAAATTACATTAAAACTTGAAATGGATTTGTACAGTTAAAAGAAACAATATGAATATTTCGTGATATTTATTAAAATAAGTTTTACTGTCTAATAAATACTATTTATCAAGTTTAATCAATTTATCCGTCATAGATCAGTTATCTTAAATAACATAAGTTGTAACTTATATTATTTTTATAAAAAGAGTGTTAAAAATACGTTTCCAATGTTTCATATTTAAAAACAATTGTAGTTAAAATACTAGTAGTAAAATAATTTAAGTTATTTAACCAGTGTCTTACATTATTGTAATTAAAAAAAAATATTCACTAGTGATCAATTCGTATTATATTATTATAACAGGGAGACTCTGGCGGACCAATGGTTGTAGAAGTTAAAGCACAGCATTACTTGATTGGAGTTGTGTCTTTTGGAGTTAAATGTGGAGATCCAAATTTCCCTGGAGTGTATTCAAGGATAGCATATTTTGTCGACTGGATCGTCAAAACAATGAATAGTAGTTAATATTCTAATAATCTGTAAATTTTAAACCACGGAAAAAAATTTTAAATGTACTATGTTATTTTAAATTGAATAATCTTTTTATATTTTAATAAATATATTAATGTTTATATAATTACAAAATTTAATATTGATGTTTTTTCCTTTTGTGACAGTTGCTTAAGTTAGTCGACAGCGTAACGTGCCTCCTATTTTAGAATTAAATTTTATTACAGCTTAGTAGGACAGCACTCACACAGATAACGAGAGACTTGGGTTCCATTCCCAGTCCACAGCCATATTTTTTTCTCAGGATCAGAGTTTCTAACACTAAGAAGTTATGAAAACTTTCCTATTTTCTCAAACCAGAGGTTTGGAACGTTATCATATTTAGTTACAATTACCGGCATAGGAGTGGTGACATTGTAACCAAATTTGATAGAATGTTGATGGATAGGCAGGACAAAATGAAAATTGCGATTAAAAAAATACCTTATTGTGTTTATAAAATTAAAATGTGTTAAATGTATTTGATTATATGTATGTTCTTAAATAAAAAATGATATTTTCCGTTTAAATTATTATCTGTTATGTATTATCAAATATCTTATTTTTACCTTTAATGATGTAAAAATAGCTATCAGATTTATATTAAATAATAATTTTAATTTCAAATTTTTCTGAATTCAAGGTAATTTTAATTATTTATTCTTACTTTATTTTAAATATTTAATATCATTTCATTTATTTATTTTTATTTAATTAACAACTATTTCAATAAGAGAACTTAATCTGAAATATTGTATGTCTACTACGGACTAGATTTCGCTTCATAATAAACAGGTTATAACAATTGCCATCCCTTCTCTGAGTTCCACATTCGTTGTAAACTAAATAAATACAGTCAGATGAAAGCGCGGAAGATAAACACATTTAATTAGAAGTATAAAAGCTATGGAAATATGTCCCATTTTATTCATGATAATATATATTGTTAGCTAATATTGTGATATTAAAATTAATTTACTTTATACTGCTGATTAATAATATTTTTAATATGTTGTGTTTTCTATTTATAATATGTCTATTATTTTTACATAAAATTGCGATTACTCAATTTGATATTGCTGGTAATTATTTTACAATATGATTATTTACCAATAAAGTATTTTTAAATAATTCATTTTTTATTATATCATTAGAAATATTATAGTTTCCTTTTTATTTATTAGACACATTGTACTGCTTAACATATCTTACTTTGATGTAATTCAGTGTGTCCATCACTGTGGCCTCCGCTTATTAGTAAATTTTTTCAAAACATTAAGTATGATAATGATGTATTTGTGAATAAATTATTTTGCACAATATTTAAATAAAATCTAACTTAAAAATATATCTTAAATCTTTATATATATATACATATATTAAATATTTTAAGGCACTTTTAACAGTTTAATCCGTAATTTAATACCTCTTTCATTTTTCAGTTATGTCTGTGGAATAGAATTTTTTTTTTATTACCTAGAAATAATTTTATAAGTGTATTAAAAACTGAAAATTAAAAAATTATTAACTTATTGTGTTTATAGAATATTGCATTAATGATAAAAATGAACTCGGTTATTGTATTAATATATTAAGTTGCTCTTTTATGGAAAATATACTACAAAATGAAAGGGATAATGCTTCAGCTATCGAATTTTTACGTAAATCTTCATGCGGATATGAAGATAATGCTCCAAAAGTTTGCTGTCCATTAGGATCTGAAATATCAAATTTTAACAATATTAATGACAATAAAAAGAAAGATGAAGTACCTAATAAAACTGTTGTCATTCGACCTGAAAAGTTGTCTACTTACGAAACATTGTCATACTCAAAACTACCAACTCCAAAATCATGTGGCCGTAAAAATTCTATCCCTAGTTTTAGAATTATTGGTGGACGACCTGCTGATTTAGGTGACTAATTATAATTAATTTAAAGAAAAATGTACAAAAAATTTTTTGAATGTATTTCCAGGTAGTTGGCCATGGATTGTTGCAATAGGATATATAAGTATTTACGCACAAAATAATCCTCCACAATGGTTGTGTGGTGGTACTTTAATATCTGATAGATATGTAGTAACAGCAGCTCATTGTACAATAGGATTAGGATACAAAAAAATGTAAATAGCGCAATACTTGTATGATGTTCCTAATTATTTTATAACAAATAATTTTAATATTAACTTAAAAAAAACCCAGCACAATAGGTACATGGCATAGTTAGGTCCAGTATAGATGATGTGATTAAAATCACTATCATAAAAAACGCTTCGATGCAAATTCGTAGATAGTGTTTAATTTTAAAAAATTGGTAGATTATTCCAAAAGCTACATAATCTCCTATTTTCTTATTTATATTCTTATTACAAGTTTTATGATTTTTTTATAAGTGTAATACATGCATATATATATATATTTATAACATATAAATATATAAAGGGAAATGGACCGATTTAAAAAAAAAAGTATTTCGCATAAAAGAAGAATGTAAATAGTACTTATCTTAAAAAAATTATAATGTTCTATACATTTTTCCAAAATTTATAGCATTATAAAGTTAAAAAAGACATTTTTACAAAAATCGTATTTTTTTTTTTATTAACTTTGATGTCCGTTTTCACCATGAAAACAAAATAAAGTTCGAAATTTTTTTTTTTCATATTAAAATATATTACATAAGCTTTAGTTTAAGATATATATAAAAGTGACAGTATTTCCGAAACACTTTCGAAAGTTAAGTTGAAAAAATTATTTTTTGTGAAAAAGTTGTCATTTTGAATCCCTTNTGACAGTATTTCCGAAACACTTTCGAAAGTTAAGTTGAAAAAATTATTTTTTGTGAAAAAGTTGTCATTTTGAATCCCTTTTGTGGGCAGATAAAGGGTCAAATTTATAGAAATATATACAAAATCATAGATAAATATCTCATGTATTTATATAAAAAAAACTTGTATTGATTTAATCATTTTTAAAAAAGTTATGGCAGTTTTAAGAAAAAAAAATGAAAAAATTTCGAAAATAACCGATTTTGAAATTTGTAGTTTTTTGAAGATTTCCTTTATTTACGAGAAACGAGGGAAATTTTTTCAATTTTTGAGAGTAATGTCTCGACTTGATACGGTTTGTGCTTGATGTACTGTTAAAAGAAATCAGTGAGAGCTGAAAAAGTGGCAACAGACACACGCAAAAATAAAAAATAAATCATAGTAAAATTAATACATTCTCAGCTTCGTATCGAAGCTAAAAAATTTTCAAAATTTTTTTCATACTATCAGCGATGTAATCAAAATAATATTTATTTATTTCTGGTTGTCAGATCTGTGGTACGCATAGGAGAATTAGACTTCAATCCTGATACAAATGATGGTGCTAGTCCAATTGACGTTTTTGTCGAAAGAGTTATGACACATGAAGAATTTAACTGGCAAAATAAAACTAATGATATAGCAATTCTTAAGTTAAACAACTCCATTTCGTTTAATAGTTAGTATTGATATTGACAGACTTATGCAATTCATGTAATTAATTTTATGTATATTATTTTTATAATATTTTAATATTTATTATTATAAATGAGATTATGAATGCGATTTGAGGACAGCTGATGTGAGCGTAAATGATGTGGGAGATCGTGTCAAGGGGAAGTTTGGGATAAGGGTAGCCGACCCCAAGTAGTTGGGATTAAGGCGAGGAAGAAGAAGAAGGAGAATATTTATTATTATTATTTTAATACAATTTTATCATCGCTAGTAGATTATTTTTTCATCTATCGACATGAGTTATTAATAGAATAAAATATTAGAACTAGAATATAGAAATATAGAATTAAATTAAAAGAACAAAATACTTGTACATTTTTATATATTTTTTAGACTTCATTCAACCTATTTGTTTACCAATTATGCCCGATTTAAGAGTCAACCAATTTGTTAAATATATAGCTAAAGTAGCTGGATGGGGTTCAACAGCATACCGTAAGTTTATCACCTAAAATGAAGTCATTTATTTTATGAAGTAAGATTTTATATACATAAATCTTTAGACGGGTCTTTAAGTACAATGTTGATGGAAGCTTTCATACCTGTAATCAACAATTCTGAATGTTATCGCTCCTATGCAGATAAAAATGTCGTTCTTGATGAAAGAATTTTATGTACTGGATACAAAACTGGAGGAATAGATACTTGTTATGTTCGTATATAAAAAATTATATTAATATTACATTAAGATCTATTTATTGTACTATATATATATATATTTACTGAAATTATGTTTGAAAATTATGAAATAACTAATCTAAGACATTAACTATATTTATCCTTCATAGCTTTTGTAATTGAAAATCAAATTCGTTGTGTCAATGAAATAGAATTACTTTTTATAATAGGTATAACGAGAAACTCTATCTCATTTATTAAATATGTATAATTAACCGGTAAATCATACATATTTAATATTGTAGGAATAATATTCGCTAAATTTCAAGTTAATGGCAAACACCTAAATTACTTTGTCCCTCTCTACATAAGTAAAATTTTCTTATAAGGTTTTAAGACTATATTAAACAACTTCAACGAATTGAAGATGAATTTTGGAAAGTTTAAATAGTAAAGTATAAACTCTTTTATGTTTTCAGGTAGATTTTCCTTTGAATTATATTTTTTACTATCTACTAATTAAGTGGAGTTAATAATTTTACTTTATAGATAATTAATTAGTAATACTTAATGTATAAAATTTTATGAAACAATTTTTTTTTCTTAAAATAATCGAAGTTATTTTTAAATGTATGATAGGGTGATTCTGGAGGACCGATGGTTTTAGAAATTGAAGAGCAAAGTTACTTGATTGGAGTTTTATCATTTGGATTAAAGTGCGGAGAACCAAATTTTCCAGTTGTATATTCAAGATTAACATATTTTGTTGATTGGATTGTTGAAAAAATTAATAGTAGTGAGGATTCCGATCATATATGAGTTGAGAAACAATATTAAAAAAATTTTAGAACATAAATTATCTTTAATTTGAATTGTTATAGTTTTTAAAACCATATAATAAATATTATCTATTTTATTATAATCAATTTATTAATTTATTAATTTTATATTTTTTGTTGTATTATTGTAATGTTTCAACTTAATAACATTTAAACATACTTGTAAATAAACCTTCATGAATGTATGTGTTTTGGTTAATTTAAATTCTGTATACTAATACATTACTTAGCTATTTTAAACATGTTAAAATTTTATTCACTCATATATTTTAGTTTCTAAAAGATAAAAAAACATTTAAGAGATCATTTTTTTTCTTGATTAATTAATTACTGATTGTATATTTTTTTCTGCTATGTAAAACTTAAATAATACATGATTAAAAATGATAGAGGTATAAATGTATAGGGTGTTTAGTAAGTAAGCGAGCGGGTTTCTATTGTTCTCATTGTTTGTAACAACTGACCTGTTTCCTTACTTACGGACCACTCTGTATATATAATAGAGGAATATATCAACAGACAATGATGTAAAATTGAATGAAATATTAATAAGTCATTAGTGTATATGGATGGTATGCTATTACTAAAGAATAACATAAATATAGCGAAAATTTTGTGGGCAAGACTTATAGAAGTGACGAAAGAAATGGGCTTTTAAATTAACGAAGAGAAAACAGAAGACGAAGACAATATGAAAGACAAAGGGTAGAGTTTTTAAAGGTGGAATTCTACAATTTTAAAATGTGCTAGGATATAAATATCTACTTACAATGATCACCCAATAAAACAATATGGTATATGAAATATTAAAAAAA